GTGGAGCCCTAACTCACTTTCTCATTCACAATGGACTTACTGCAGAGCCCCGTTCTCACACTGAACAGGCTGCTCTCTGTGAATAATCACATTCTTTATAAAGGACAATTTCCACCTGGAATAAGTGATCTCTCTCGGTCCCTTCCAGGATTCCTTCGATATTCTTCTCCCCAGTCTCCTCTGAGACCGTCACACTCATGTCTCTCCCCTAATCGGAGTTTCTTGAACTGAAGCCACTTCTCTGCTCTCATATCTGCCAGACCTGTTCTTTCCTACTGCTATTATTAGACACAGCTTCAGCTTCATCACTAACAGGTGATGGGGTTGTCTGAGTACATGAGGAAAAACCAAAACCATAAGCAGAAATAAATAAAATGTTCTTCCAGACTCTACTGATTATCCAAACGAATTACCCTGCTAATGTATTTAAATGCCTACTTACCAAACCACCACCCAATTCTCCGTGAAAATGGAAGGAGGCTGCTCAACACAAAAAAAGTTGTAAACAATCATTAGCCAAAACAGGGCAACAAAAACATTAGAAGGCAAATTCTATGTTTCAAAGTCCTGCCTCAATCTCCTTAGTCCACTGAAATTACAACACTCTCATCAATCAGTATTATTTTTTAAATACAGAGGACTCCATTAGCAAAGCATGTTTTTCTTATGCAGCTCTGACTTGCTCCTTTGCAATACATCAACTGAGAACACTGTTCCAATTATAGCAGGCACTGACAAGCATTCTGACGTAGGAAGAGAAATAATATTGGGTGCTGAAGTGATTTCAATGTTAAAATCACAAATCTCTATTTGTGTAATGGAATATATATAAACCATAATAAAATCATTATCTTTCTTTCTTAATCTATTCCTGAAATAGATTGAGCTATGCTAAAAGGTTTAGAAAGAACACACTTCTATTAATGTTCAAGGAAAATGTATTAAAGCAATGTTGTAGTGTCTCTAGAAGGCTTCCCTAGGAACCTTCCATTTTGGCTCAAGCCCAGACTGTGGTGTTTCTCTGAGCCAAGATGGCTTCTGAGCAGGCAGGGATCTGGAAGCAGGTGAGCATTATTGAGCAAGACACACCTGGGCATTCCACATGAGGATTGTAGGGCTTTCGGGATAGGTTCCCATGGAATTAACCAAGCCCCTGTAATTAACAAAGAAGCTTATAAAAGTGAAGCTTGGGAGGAAAACATTTACATTGAGTTGGGGAGGAGAATTATTTATTGTCAGTTGTGTTGCTGTTGTTCCAATGGCCCAGGAATAGTGGGATCTGTTTGATGAGAAGAGCAAGATGTCAATGGCTTGGACAATTAAATCGGAACACTGTTATTGAAGCTAGCTGATCTGTTGGACTTGAGAAGCTGTGTTGTGGCTTGGAAATGCAGTAAGTAATGCTGTCCAGTAGGGATTGCTGCTGGTGCTGAGATGGTGTGTGTCGGCTATTGGGTGGGTAACATGTTGGGTTGAGGTGAAGTTCTAGTCTGTTGTAGCTGTTCAGGATGCTGCATGCAAAAAAGCACAGCTGGTCTGTTGCTTAGTGTCCTAGTCTTTCAAAGACTTTGAGGGTGAGCTGGCTGCTCTTCCGTACTGAGTCTGGAGACTGTACAGTTTTAAGCACAGACTTGTGATTCTGTCTGCAGAATTGAGACTTCATGGGTATGTACAATACCTTGCATTGGATACCTGGAAGATCCATCTTGAGGAAAGTTGTATACAAGGAAGAGCCCAGTTGTGTTCCTGTCTCTGGGACACTGAAACCCAGCTAGATGCTGCTGCACAGTAAGGAGAGATCTCTCCACTGAAATCCCAGGTAGGGCACCGCTATATTTATTTCACTGTTGAAATGGGCAGAAACTGAAGGTCCTTTTAGGTAAAATGACTGGGTTATTGGACTAATGCTTTTGTGCTGAAGTGAGCAGTATCTCCACTGGACAAGTGTGGGATGGTGTTGCCATTCTCTTTCCTCCAATGATGGCTCATGATCTGGGTAAGGTTGAGGCGCTTGTGCCCTCAAAGCTAAGAACTCCAGTGTAGGAATGTTGTTGGTATTGAACTGTTATTCCAAGACGGTGATCAAGTGTCAGGACTTGGTCATTAGCCTCTCCTTTTTTTTTTTCTTGAAAGGTGTGCCGTTTATTTTTTTCTCCTGTTAGGAAAAAGAGCCCTGCTAACTGCATGGGAAGAAGGTAGACTGGTAATTGAAGGTCTACAACAGGAATGGGACATCCTCAACACTGCATCTGTAATGTGGCTTGTATGGTGATCCTCTGGCATGTCTGTGCAATAAAGTTAAGGTGTCATTTGAAGTTCTTTGTATACAGCCATTAACACCTTTTGAGCTGTCCTCTGTGGTACCACTTATTAATGCCACAGATCAATAATCTGATGCTTTATTAATGTGAAGATCATGGGGAGAACAGCAACTGATAATAACAGTACTTGCAGGGGTAGTGTTTCCTAGGCAACAATGTTACCTGCAGGAAGAGTGCTATATGTTAACATGTATAATGAGGGAAACCTGGGGATAGGTACTGTATAGGTCTGAATAGAGATGAATCATGCCTTGCAATAACCAAGTAGCTTCAGTTGTGGTTGTTCAATTAAATAGCCTAAGCCTTGCAATTGTAGAAGAACATGAGTATCAACAGGACCAAGGGATCACAGGCATATCAATGCTGCAACAGCACAGCAGCCACAGTGCCAGGCACGCAGGGAACGGGGTTTCCCGGCTGTTTGCTTTCTGCAGCTGCTACAGGCCTGTTTTCTTCAGAACCTATCCAGCAACCTTCAACCCTTTGAAGATTCCCTTTCTCCAGAATGCTGGGCAAGAGCAGGGATCTCCACATGTCATCCTGAAACATGCCAATTAAGTCCTCCTCTATTTAACTAGGAGCACTAGGGGAAGTTATTATGCTGCTCTGTAACTTGACCACCTCTGAAGAGGTGCCCCTTACCTTGGAGGGTCTTCTGGTTCTTGTTGTAACTTCCTGCGTTTTACACCAGATGGATTGTGAGTAGTTAAGTACAGAACCAGCTGAGCTGAGGTGTTACTAATGTGTAGTGATGGAGTACATCTATTCTAGTAGCTTATTAGATTCAATTGTAGTCTGGGCCATGGTGAATTTACAGTACCATTCTTCCTTAGTTATTTTGTATAACTACTTCAGGTAGGGCATGGTGGGGGTAGGCATGCACTTAGTTGGTAATTTTAACATGTCTTCACAATGGAAGGGATTTCCTAAAGCTTGCACAAAAGTCACTTTTAGACAGACATTTCTTAGAACTACCAGAGCTGTACCTAATAGTCTTATCTGCATGAGGATGAGACCCCAGGATCAAGTATTTCCAAAAATCAGATGACTGTTAGTTTGCCACATTTTTGAGCTAGGTTTGGATGTTCAGCACTGCTCCCTATCCACTGCAGTGGATGTGCTTTCTAGTAGTGTAGTCATCACTGCTTACTGTCCCCGTTCAAGAAAAGCTATGGTTTACCACGAAGTAGAGACTGATTTGACAGTCATTAAGTTATTAATCTTGTTAACCTTACTTTAGCCAAGCTCTACACCCAGAGCAACAGAGGTTTGGAAACAGCTGATAAGGATCACTACTCGTAACCCAAATTAATTCATGCGGAGACCACATCCTGTTTGGTTTAAATGCTTTTTGAAGAGTGCTACATAGCACACTTTCTGAGCCAGAACCGGAAGGGTAAGATCTGACTTCTTTGACCCCAAATCTCAAAGGTGTACTAAAATAAGCTATCAAATGTATACAAAGCGTAAATCCCCAATTCTCTGGAGGTTTCCTGGGCACAAAGTGCTTAGGGAAAATGGGAGGCAGTCCAGTCTTTCATGCATTATAAAACCAATTCCCATTTCTATCTGAGATGTTTGCTAGGAATAACCCTCTGATGTGAATGCAATCGTGGCTGAAGGTTGTCATCATTTGCAATCCATTACACTATCTAACAGGATTGCAAGTCACAAAAATTAATCTGAAGCCCCATTCAAGCATTCACCTCAGCCAAGTTCAGCTGCTCTGTTGGTGGAACCATGTGTCCCATCTCTATAAAAGACTAGCTTTTAAAATGGCCTTTAGAATTCACAGATTAGATTCTATTTATACTAAAGGAACCATAAGAGAGGAGCCTGCAGGTGCCAGGAAAGCAGTAATTTAAAAACCCTGGCTTCAAATGTAAAAAATTCATCAACCACCTTATACCCTTTTATCTTCCTCAAAACAGACATGCATTCCAGACTTTCATGAATGATTTCTAAGGAATGCTCTGTGCCACTCCCAGTTATGCTTCTCAATCAGAATTTAAGCTGCTCCCTGAAAAGCATGTTTAAGCAGCTGGGCTGATAGTCTTAACTTTTAAAACTTGGATTAATAAATATCAAATAACGCTGAGACCATAATCAACATTCTTTATCCCAATGAATCTCATTTTAAACGTTCCTCCAGTTATATATTACCTTAAATTGTCTGCTCTGCCCTGAATGGATTGTGATGTTTCTTGGGAAACAGAAAACCATCCTGCCAAACTCTTTATAGTAGAGTTCCCCCACTGCACTTAAGTGTTTTTTTTTCTTTGGTTGATTGGCACTTTACCTGCATACTAGACGTTATTCACTGGTTTAAATTAATTTTCAGATTAATTTAAAAAAAAAACACCCATTTTAGTAACAGCACCAGAAATAGCTAGTTTACACCCAACAACACAGTACTTAAATCAGACTGAACACCCCGATAGCATACGGATTGTGGGCACAAGTTATTTCAATTTAATTATTGCCAGAAACTGAAACAATCCAGAGTGAGCTGAAATGTTCAGTCTTCTTAGCTGGGAGGGGTGTTTCCAGCTGTCAGAATACATCTGTTAATCTGACCTTTGCACTTATGCATATGTCACATTCTCTCATTTCTATTTTTGGTTGTTCTTTCTTGCAGTTTTTGTTGTGACAGAGTGAGCCTCTTGCCAAGGCCATCATGGTGCATGTGTATTTGTTCTCAAGCCATTTATCCATTTAAAAAATATTCTCCACCTCGTTGCACCTGGTAGGTCTGAAGTGTGCTTTATTAGATCTGGGTCATGAATCATTGGATGCTTTGACCTCTCTCCACATTAGGCTTAGCAAATTCCATCAAAGGTCTTGCAAGCCTCAGCACTGCTCAGAGATAAGGCAAAATGCCTGCTTACTTACCTCATCTTGTAAACAATCTGAATCGCACTAAAGGGGCAAGACTCCACAGTCCTGCAGAGTCAGACTTCCATGCAATTCTGCTTTTGCATTTAACCACAAAACAAATTCTCATCCACAATGGCCACCTAGAGAGCTTTTTATACAGCAGGGAATGTACCAAAGCAATCAAAGAAAAACCTTGCTCAAGATTACAACAGCAGCCTCCCACACTGGTTTTGAATGCGCAGCCCAGTGTATAGTGTAAATTGCACTGCCATTTTCTCCATCGGTACTTATTTAGAATGATTGAAGATGTTAAAATTCTGGTAATGCACAACTATAATTGGCAATTCTAAAGACAAAAATTATCCATACAATTGGGAATCACCACTCTCTTTCAGCTCATCAGTGTGCCTTGCACTCACTGGGCTCCATGGCAACATACAGGAAGTACACCATTGATTAGAGGAGAGCTGCTTCACTTACTGGTATTGCTGTGAGCTTGCAGGTGGTAGGATCACAGCTCAGCCAAAAGCAATCTGGCAGACTAATCCCACCCCCCCATCAGAGCTCCACCAATTCTTTACTGAGCTTGGGGGACCCCTGGTTACAATCAGACAGCGACTTGATCCAGGCTCAATTTCCGAGCTCAGCTGGAGGCCCAGAAACATGTCAGAAACGTGGATTGTGGATGAGGAGCTATACTTGACAGCAACCAGAAAAGATGAGTCAGAGCACCAGTTTTCAGCTTCATACTTGATAAGATATATTTGAAAAGTTTGCAAACCTGCTCCACCGATAATGGTGAAATCATGATGAATATTTACAAAATGCCATAGTAGATGCCATTTTATAAAAAGAGAGACAAGGACTTGTGACAACACCAAGAAAAACCTTGCCTGGAGGACATAGAAAAAGAAAAAAAAAGCATATTTTCCCACCGGTACACCACTAAAACCAGAGAATGCATTGCAATTTGATACCGTCACACCCTGTTCATTCAGGAGCCCTAATAGGAAAATTATTCCCTTACAAATGCAAAACAATAAATACAAAAACAAACATGGGCTTCAGCTCGATTCCTCCTTTTGGTCAGTAGAAAGAGGTCCGATATGCACACAAAGCAACGTTTTTGAGGAGAGAGAGGTGCCATGGAACATGTGCCATCCCGAAAAGGCTTCCTGGGAGTAACTTGATCCTGAAAGACTTTCAGCCAAATAGTGGACCAAAGTATCTACCCTCTGCGGTCACAGGCTGCAGCTTCGCACGCGATGAAGAAGTGTTCTCCGAGAGGGAGCAGAACGGAGTCCCGTTAGAAACGTCCACAGCCACGGCGACCCGTGGGGGTGTCCTGCGGCTCACACAGTGGGGGTCTTGCCCGCGTGGGGCGGCTGCAGGAACTGGGGTCGCTTCACTCGGGGTTTCCTCCTCTTCGGCTTGCTCTTGGTCTTGGTGATCTGAACCACGAAAAACGCCAGCACCACCATGGCCCCCAGGAAGGCAAAGACTGGGATGGTCTGGCCCACGTCTTGATTATAGCGTCCAGGCATTATACCTGGGGAGAGAAACAGCAGTGGAATTAAAGGACAGTCCTAACCCCAGGGTTCCTAATTCTGGGTTACCTGCACCCCCTGTTTTAAACTGCAGCTGAGCCCTTTACTCATATAAACCCTGAACAAAGCAAACAGTTAAGCAACTTTGCAAGATTTTTTTCTACAAAAAGATGTAGATGTTTAAATATTTAAAAGGCAAGATCTTACATGTTTAGGAACACAAAGATCAAATTAACCCTAATAATTGATGGGTTAAGTTATTAAACCAAGTGCTCAGGCGGATTCAAAACCATGGTGCGTGAGTCCCCACAATCGGGGAAACTCTGGTCTTAGACTACAGCACAGACCACGTATCCGAGTTTAAAATAAAGAGTCCTGGATGTAGTCAAGGTGGAAAATGCACTGATGCCAAGCGACAGGCCTTGCCTTCCAACAAGGCTCAGATCGTTGTGGGAGTCAAGCCCTTGCTTGAACCTCGACACTCACCCCCAGGGATGTCCCAGGCTCCACTCTCGCCAGGGGACAGAGGGCGCACTTGAGGGCGATTCTGCCTAAAATTGGGCAGAGGTTCAATATCGATCGCCAGTAGTTTCTGGCTCTTCCAAAGGTTACTGCAATAAAAGACAAATTTAGTGTTCATTTGCATTTCATAAGACTCCAACTCAGCAGTAACAGTGACAAAAAAAACTTTAATTAAAGCAGAGTGGTGGCAATAAGCCACAAAAATGTAGTAAAAAAGAAAAACTGCTTAACTGTTCTGTAATTCTCTAAAACATGCTACCAAATTACAGCTATCTGCTGTAGTCAGTTGGTTTATTAAGTGCATTTTAGCAGGGCTAGCTTATTGTCTTCATAGGAGATCTTGCAATCCGTGCTGCTGATAACATTTTTCACACTCGAATGTAAAGTTGTTTTGGAGAAAATGGCATTGATAAGAAAGCAAACCTAGATGCCTGCTCATCTTGGACAAATTAATATGGACTTATTCAACAAAGATTGTGCTGTTTGTGCTCTGAGTGCATATATACTGTATATATATATAAGTAATACCATGATTAGCAGTTCTTGTGAGATACTGTGACTCAAATGTAATTCAAGAGCTGTGCTAACCAAACCTCATGCATGGCACAACTACAAGGGAAGATACAGCCAAGACATGTATTAATCATTCCAGGAAAGAGGAATTAAAAACAAGAAAATATTTTCTGTGATAACTAATGGTGGCCCTGATATGGGAAGAAAACAGAAGGGATTTGGAAAGATCATGGGGGATCACACTGGCCACCTCACGGTAAATTCTCACTGTATTATTCACCCGGAAAATCTCTGTGTCAAGATTTCAAATTACGAGCTTAATAAGGAGATGACAGGGGTGAAAACAGTGAATTTTCTTGTTGCTCGATCCGCCTTGACACACAGCAGTTTTTAATTCTGCTACGATCCCGATATCAGAGAGCTCAGCAATGGAAAGCCCGGGCAAGGATCACAGTAAGTGCTACCAAATACTTTTAAATGTTACCAAACATGCTACTAGCTACAAGCTATGTGGTGTAGACATGCATACTAATTTATTAATTTATACTAGATTCAAATATTACATTTTTCTTAATCAACGTGCAGTGCTCTTATTCTCATTAAAAAAGTATCAAGAGCACGCAAACCCGTAAAGACAAGTGCATGAGCTAACCCTTGGCACGCCCATCCAGAAACTGCTGTAGCGTTCTTAATTCCCCCCTCCCAAACGACAAACCCACACGGTTTATGAAGAAGAAGATCCATCTGCCCAGCGGAGGGAGCACTGACCTGGGTCCGGTCAAGTTGACGGGCTGCGGCTTGGCCCAGGACAGGTGCGGGCAGGCAGGGAGCGGCCGGGGCTTCGGGTCTCCCAGGTGGGGCTCCAGCACCTTCGAGTACCGATACAGGTGATTTCCTGATGGGAAGGGGAGACAGCGGAGCTGACTGCTAAGGGACACCTCTGTACACCCGGACATTGTTCTCAAACTTATCTACATGGATGGGCCGTACAAATGGGTGTGAACTGGCCTCACCTTCCAGTCTCTCTGGCAGTGGGCGTTCTGTGCCCGTGGGGGGCGGCAGTCTGCTCTTGGAGTGGGCGAGGCTGGGAGGGATCGTGGAAAAGGAGGTGAACTGCAGCAGGGAGTCCAGAAGCCAGAAACAGTCTGGGAACAAGGAGAAAGAGACAACCCGCCGGCTACGTCACCCAACAGCCGAGCCCAAACAGCTCCCCACGCCTGTGCCGATTGCTCCCATTCATTTTCACGCCTTGCTGACGAGTCCTGAAGCGCTCGTCATTATTTTGACTATGGCTGCCCCAGTATACTATGTCCTATTACATAGGGAAAACACAGTAATGGTGTTCGCTTTGATGGTGTATGGTGTGAGAGGGGAAGCAATGTTCATCTCCTTTCCAAACTCTGATCTGTTGCTCTCCAGTTCGGACTGTTTGGGAGCTGTATTTCTGGTCATCAGGGAGGGAGGTGTGCCTTACCTTTCTGTCTGTGGCTGTCGTCTATGCAATTGGAGTCTCCGTACAGAGCAATCCTGCCCCCTCCTTCAGAGGGCGTCTGGTAAAGCCCCAGTATGGGGACATTGTCCACCACGGCAGTCTCCTGCTTCAACACTTCCAATCCTACAGAATTGGGGTTAAGAACGCAACACGGCCAGAGTCAGGTTAAGATGACAGGGTAAAATAAAGCATGAATGATGCTATGATGACACTTGCATTACCTTGGTCTTTCAGAGTCTGGGCTATGACTATTCCATCCTCAGGAAACTTCGCAATGCTGCATCCAGAGGCATAGTACACTGGCAAGATGACATACTTATTGTTAGGTTATGCATTGACTTAAATTGTTGAAGAGCTCTTAATAAGGCTGATGACCCAAAATCCTGCACCCTATTCTTGGCAATACTCAAGGAAAAAATATCTAACAAGAGTACCTCAATCAAGCCATCTTGCTCTCAGAAGCTGAGATAAGAAGTGACAGGGTCACCTGCAGCGCACACAGATAAACTTAACATTAAATTCTTACTGTCGTGATCAGCCATGGTAAAGTCTCCTTCGTACAGGCCATCACTAAATGCCATCCCCCAGACTGAGATGAGGTCGTTCAGCGCTGGGATGTTGGCCCCACCTGTGTCGGGCATCCACCATTGTCTGCAATAGAAAGCCAAGCAAAACAGGAGGTTGGCAGGTTCACTGCCACAAGGGGGACAATGGTTTGTAACACAACCACAAAACCACCAGAGGGAGACATTTCTACATTTTAACATGACTCGAGCATAGTGCTCATGGGTGTTCCATTGTGACTGACGTTTAAATCAACCCCTACTTTGAAAAACTTAAAAAACTTAACTGTAAAAAGTGTCTTTAAATACAGGCCAAAAAACATCCTAAAAAAAGATCCAACAGAAATGACCAAATGCCCAATGCCCTTCAGTGCCCATTTCCTACCTGGTGTTTTCATCGTAGAACTTGACCTTCCTCATGACGGAGGTGTTGTACCAGTCGCTGAAGACGATGAGCGACAGCCCGTTGTCAATGTCCCGTCGCAGCTTGGTGATCTCCTCAGGGAAATACTCCTCCTCGCTGTCCACCATCAGCAGAGTCCCTGCACACAACACAAGCGGTAACAGGAAGGGGGCCAGTCAGGGACCATTCACCGGGAGCCACAGCTGTGAAGGACCAGACTCCCAGACTGGGGGAGAAAGGGGCAGCCCGAGATTCCTGATCTGCTCAGATAACGCTTGCTTAAATGCATCCAATCTAACTGCAGCCTGAGCCTCTGCAGTGCTGAAAGGCTTTAGAGAATGGAGGTCAAGCAGTTCTCATCTCACCATACTGGCTGGCATCAAAGCAGGTGAGAGGCGCCCCCAAGACTTCCAAGAAATAGCCCATGCTCCTCAGGTGCTGGTACATGTCCCGGAAGTTGGTGTGAATGTGGTCACCATTCCTTGAAATGGATCAATTAAAACAAAACATTTAACTGCCGCAAGAAAAAAAAAAAGTGCTTCAAGTTAGGAAATTGCAATGCATCTCTTGTATATCTGCAAAGTAATGAAATTTCTCAAGAAATATGAAAAACGGATCATATTAAAAAGTTTTATGTCCATTTTGATTGCAGGTAAATGTGTAGTGGAGGCAGACTTTTCTCAGCTCAATGCTTATGGCAGTCCATTAAAACAATCCTTTGGGGGGGATGTTTTTTGCATTTATTGGATTTCATTTTCAAGTTTCATTTACTCTTAGTATCAGGGGTTTAATGTTTTCCACAGGTGTTGGTTTCCATAAAGCTGCTCTGCACAAATTCAACACCAAACAGAGTGTAAGTGTGAGGAACTGCTGTCAACAGTTAAAAGAACAGACTGCAGGTCACTATTTCTCCTGGGAAGATGGGGAAGATCAGGAGCTGGGGTGCGAGCCTCACCAGTCCAGGGGGTCGTTCTTCATGCGGAGGTTGTCCCGGGGAAAGTAGCCCGGGGGGTAGCGCAGGTTGTGGTACTGATCCCACAGCACCCTCTTGCTGCGTGGAGGAGTGGGAATGACCTTCACCTTCACCGGCAGCTTCACGGTCGAAGTCAGCTCCCCACCCACACTGGACTGTAAAGAAAGCCATGGTGGGGTAAGACGACAAAGGCAACTGAGGCTGCTACATCACCGCTCTGGAGTACGTGCATGTCGGACAGCAAAAAAAAAACTTATTGCCCCAAGAGAAGAAAACAACTACTCAATTTTATCCTCAATTTCCAAGACAACGTGCACAAGTGTGGGTACCTTCCACACCTACAGTCCTGGACCTTAAATGTGTGGTAAATGTACCAAGAGACTGTTATTTTAACAAAATGGTGAGCAAAAGGTTGTGACAAGCAGCCCATAAGTTTGCTTTCCCAGCCTCCAAGAAATATTATGCTGCTTAAATTTATTATCAACCCTGTTGGTCTGTATTATCTATTGAACTCAACTTTTTTTAAAATGTAACAGTGTTGAAAACAGGAAGAATAACACATATGTAAAACAAGTATTTCATGAGCTGCCATCTTTGAGACTAGCATTGCCTATATTTACAAATGATCTGCCAAGGTAGAAGGAAATACTGTATAAGTAAACCACAAAACGTATAAAAACATTTTTAGAATTATTCTCTGAAATATTTTTTGGCAATCAGTGTAAGCCTGATTTTCAAAACCATGCTATCAAATAAAGACCTCAATTAAGTCAGAGGCCTGCCTGTTGGATCCAATCAGGTAAATGGGCAGCCTGTTGTGCAGAAATGCCTTCCCAGCAGACTTACATCGTTCTCTGCGGGCGATGCCACAGTGACGATCACATGGCCCTGGGCAATCCCCTCCCATGATGCTGCCTTCTTAGCAACAGAGATGGAGACGGCGAGATAGCCGGCCCAGGGCCAGAGCACAGGGGAGTAGGACACAGCCACATCAATGTGGTCTCCATTCTGAGGCAGATAGGGCTGCCAGACAGGCTGCAGGGAGCAACAGAAACAGTGCATCAGGGAAAATTCAAGTGCACTGCTCTCATGCAGTGATTACCTTAAACTATCAAAAGCACTGACAAGAATACCCAGAGCTTTATATAACTATCCACAAACAAATTCTGAACAATGAAAGACAAAAAGCCACATCAAGTTTACAGTGTTAGACACTGGCACGTGTTTTAAAGTTACAATCTTAAAATGCCCAGTCACGAATCTAAGAAGAGCATTGACAGTTTAATTAGATGGCCATATCACTCATCTACAGATAAAAACAAACATTGCAGTCAGGGCTCTGGGTGTGTGAGTGGAAGGTTGCAGGTTCAAGTCCTGGGTGGGGGTACAGCCATTGTACCCTTGAGCTAAGTATCTTGCTTACATTACTCCAGAAAAGTAACCAGCTGTATAAACAGACACAAAGGCAACTTCCGGGTTAATTTCCTAGGAGGTAAAGAAAGTTTTTTTTTTTACCTTGTCAACAATCCTGCCTGTCACACCCATCCCATTCAGAATGGTGACATTAACAATGGTTGGCATTCCTCCATAGTAAATCGGCTGGGAGCAATACGGCCACATGTACGGGCACTCGGTCAGGTCAATGTAGCTTGGACTCAGGCTAAAACAAACAGATACGCTCTTAGACACTGAAAGGTAATACAAAGGATTTCTATAAAAAATAGGGTTGTTAACTAATAGTTACAATAGAACCTGAAAACAATGAAACCGTCTTACAATAATGTAAAGTCTGCTGTATTAGCAACCTAAAGAGAAAGGGTCACATTGCATTTACAAGACTTTTTGCAGTGCCTTGCAATACATTTGTTTACATTAAACTGACTCTTTCTACAAGAATGACAACCAAGACCTTTTATCCGCAGTTTTGATGTACTTATATAGATGTATCCATAACCCTGAACAGGCAGTATGAGAATGCCGACTCCAACACTGCACACTCTGAAGACCACTCAAATGTAGGGCAGAGGTTACCGATTGGTGCACGAGGCTAATTAAATCAGCAGTCAAGACGGCAACGCTGTGCGTCTCCCTGGGCCCGCGGGCGTCTGACTGACCTGGCCTGGGGCCGGTAACTGTTCAGTATCTGATACGCTCTCAGGAGGTCCAGCTTGCCATGGCCCTGCTCGAACATGTTGACTCCAGGCAGCCTGCGGGCCGAGGCAATGAGAGCCTGCTTCATGCTTGCAGGGTTCACCAGCTCCCGGTTCGGCACAGTGCTGGGGAGAGGAGGGAGAGCGTCAAAGACTCGGGCTGCTTGCTTGGTCACTAGGCTTTGCTTGCGAAGATGCTGCATCTTTCACTTCCTTCACCTCCTTATCTCTATAACTGCAGTTCCAGCAGCAAAGCTATCTTTCTATTGATAAAGAGCTTGAGCAAAAGCAAATACAAGCTGATTCAAACATCTCCCAGCAGGGGATACACAAATTAGTGTAAAAATGTAACCTGCATTTTACCCATCCTTTATCAGATTCCCACTTATCACTTGCATTGTAACCAAAAGAACATTACTGTAATCTATCAGATTTCCCTGCAATAGGTTTGAATCTGTTAGCTTTCTAGAGTGCACCATCATTACTCTTTAAATGCATTCTAACCCATTTGAGACACTTACCCACATTACCCATAGTTTTAACTTTGCTTTCTATCACAAAAGCAGCAGCTACAGGTATCAATTTGTAAATAAAGAGTTGTAAGTGGCACAGAAGACAGCCGACCCCATTACTCATTTATGGTTGACGGTTTATGACTTAGAGTCCCTACCCTCTCAGAAAACATTTAACCATTTCTTGTGCTATCGCTTTGGAGCCCACAGTAACACTAGAGCAATGGCAACACAGTTTAAAGATCCAACAGAGGTGTCAGAGCCATTGCAAAATTAAAATGTAACAACTCTGGATAACAGTTTTTTCCGGTCAGTACTGCAGTCTTCAACTTAAATGGTTCATATCAAACAGGCTCTCCTCAGGATCTGGAGACGGCTTCAGGCTCATCTACGCTGAAAATCCTGTCATTGCTCCAATGTGGCAGAGATGGCAAGATAAAGCCCATGGTTATCTTCCGACTGCCGCCTCCAGGCGGTCAATCCTTTTGTCGCCCCTCAGTGATGGAATCTGGAGATAAGAAGAAACCCCCACCGCCACAGCGCTCAGCGCTGCAGGCCCTCCCTGGCGCCTTCTCACACCTCACCTGGCCAGCAGAGTGACGGCTCCGGCGACCACCGGCGAGGCCACGCTGGTTCCCGACAGAGAGCGGCACCCTTCCTTCATCCCGGAGCCCCGGACGCCAGAGCCGTAGGTGACGATATCCGGCTTCACCCTGCCGTAGCCACCTGGAAGCTCCTGGACACCAAGAGCCCAGGCCAAGAACGAGCATCAGAGCCTCTTTCATAGCGAGGTAAGGGCTTTGCCAATCATTTGTCTGGTTAATCCAGTTTCATTAGACAGCTGTTTAATAGGCTGATCACGTTTACGTCACACATTACCTTCAGTAATTATCAAGTCTTTATTGCAAGTCTCATTTTTAAACAGTTTTTTTCTGCACACTCCAACTGTTTTTTTTAAGTAACGCCGACTTTCAAAACACACAACTGCCTAATTAGACTAAATTGAAGAACATTCTGGGTTTGATCAACTTTTAAATTAACAGATTTATCTCTGTAACTCATGGTAAAAACAACTTGGCAGCTCATATCAAAATCTAGTCTTATCAGTATGAAGGCTTCTTGCATAATACGGAGTAAAGCAACAAAACAATCATTAACTGAGGGATTGCATCCAGTGTGTATCTGTCCATTAGATCATCCTGCTGATGAAGAGTTTTGCAATAGATTGGAGAACGTCACTTTTTTTTTCTGTGAAAGTTTCCATTACACTCTCACAAATAGAAACAGAATGTGCAACATTTCAGACACAATGGGATCACAAAGGCGCTGTTTTCTCTCAGCAGTTAATCATACATTGTTTTATAGTGGAACTTTGTCTGCTCTGGGGAAACATGCATTGGAAGCTCATACCTGAAACTAATTTCGTAATTAGACTTACCCAGGTTGTCATACCCCTAGAGGAAAACCTTGCGATGTTGTCTTCAAAGTCAATTCCTCCTACTCCAATCACATCCATCTGGTCAGCAGGGTTATTGAGGGTGCTAAAAAATAAAAATATCCATCTTCAAAAGGCGTACCTCAGAGACGGCCTGGAGGATATGATTTTGCTTCCAGTGTAGTTAACAAGAGCTGAATTAAAGGATAAGTGATGGAACTAAAAAAAAATATTGTAGATACTTCAAACAAGCAAAAATGTGACAATCACTGTAAAGGAGGCTTGATCTGAAAGGGTCAAAGCACTGGCTGTTGTAATAATCAAGAGTGGTTTTCCAGGAAAGATATGCCAAACCTAAACATTTACTTACCCATACAGTGGCCCATCATTTCCAATAGCCGAGACCATGATCACACGGTTAGCAGTCAACTCCCACACCTGAACACCAAATTTAAAAAAAAGACATTTAAACACCTGCTGAAAGAAAATTACAAGAAGAAAACAAGCACGCAGACAAAATATTATATCCGATGGCAATAGTTTCTGCTACTCTTGCTTGGGCTTGTACCTATTGATTTCACTTTGAGTAAGTGTGACAGCATTCCCTTTACAGATCCCTGGAAGAACATATCATAGGTGAAGTCCCTGTTCTTCTGTGTTCTTTAGGGTGTTAAGGGTCTGGAGCCCATCAAAAAGGTCAGGCTTTTTTCAGTCATACTTCTTGAACATGTCATTGACAACCCTGCCTTGCACCCTTTGCTTGCTGGGATAGGCTCCAGCTCCACCATACCCATGAACTGGAAAAAGGGGTTAGAAAATGAATGGATGGGTGGATGCTGTTCATAGCCTGTGTGGAGTCAGTATTTTCTCCCCATGTTCATGTGGGTTTTCTCTCATGTGCTCCGGTTTCATCTGAAGGAGTTTTATATATATATACACATCTTTCATATAACACCATGATTATCTCAAAATTATTGCAGTCATAAAACTTGTAACTTTATGCCTGTACTTTGTTTATCCGAGTAATTACTCAACTTCTCACAGTTGCGAGGTCACCAGTGCTTTGTGATTAAAACGCTTCTTTCGTTAACAATACGGCCTTGTGATTCTGACAATGCATAGACTGCAGGCAGCTACAACTGCAGTTGATAACAGAAAGGCAAGAAAGGAAAGTCCCACGCAGCCCCCTCTTCCATGCAGCTGGATGAACGAGAAAACAGGAAAAACTTGCTTCTGCTCGTGCTGCTGTACGACACTTTAACTTCAGCTGAAATAAAGGCCTGATGACCGTTTCACCTCTGTAGCCTGGACTCGGATTCTTCCCTATTCTCACCTATCTGCCTTCACCTCCCACAGTCCAGGGAGGTCAATTTGCTTCTGTGGGAAAACCTGCCCTGGGGCAAGTGTGTGTGCATGTTTGCGTGTGACCTGAGATGGACTGGGGTCCCCTTCAACGTGTACCCTGCTTTGCTCCCATTGTTTCCTGGGAAAGGCTCCAGCACCCCCTGAATTGGATAAAGGATTGGATTGGATGGATTGGATAAAGTGGTTAGAAAATGCATAATATACTCTGTATTATGACAGCGCAATGTGTTGGTAGAAAACGCCAGTCTCCATTACTGACAAACGACTGCAACCTTACCTTATCAACAAAAGGATGGTCCATGAAGTCTGGTCCTCCAATGCTAAGGTTTAAAACGTCTATCTTTTTCAAGATGGCATAATTAAAGGCATCCAGGAACCAAGAGGTGTACGAGACCTAAGGTCAGAACAATCACATTATGCAGCAAGCACATGAATAATGCATCAATAACTACTAAGATATTTAAGTAGCACAGGATAAAACTTTCAGCTTTTTAAAGGTAGGACACCTTGAAATAAGTGGTTTTCTTTTTATCGGTTCTACAAATTTGTAGGCCACAATATCAGGAAAAACAATTTTTCTGAAATTAGTTTCAGGATCAACTTATTTTGCAGCCATGAACAGACAGCATAATGTTTGCAGCGAGTGCGTTATCATTAAAAAAAAATCAGAATACTTCATTTTCATCTGCCCAGCTGCCACAATAAAGCATGTGGAGATCGGTTCAGGAGCCAGAGAGCATGACGGAGGTGGTACCTGATTGTTGGTGAACACTCGGAAGATGTGCAGCTCGGAGTCAGGAGCAAACCCCTGGCACTCTCTCATGCTTGCGATGACCCCTGCCACAAATGTGCCATGGCCCAGCCCTATAGAGAATAACAACAACCATAGTGGGCTCACACACAGCAATAAGGCAGAATAAGAAATTTTAAGATGAACATCCACAGAATGCAATTTTTACTGAGAAAGGCATTAAATAATGCAACATATGAGTGCTGGAACCAATCTCATTTGTATTACATCATGGATGCAGTGCATTGAGCAGTTTCCTCTACAGCATCAAACCTAAGCCTACAGGATGGCAGAAACAAGAGACTGCCTGTTTCAGGGGATCATTCTGGCACAGACTATGCATTGTTTCCCACTCAGTGTCAGCCTGTGCTCAGTCATTAACTGGCATTTCGACCACAAGACACAGGGCAAGTGAACGTTCATCTCCATTAGTATTAATACAGTGCATTATTCCTCCAAGAGAGATTTCTGTATGCTAACAGGTTTAAGAGGACAGACAAGAGCCAAGTCAGAAAAGGTGCCAAAGAAATGTATTTTAATGAAAATGTCTCACTGCTAAACAAAATTACACCTTCATCAAATAAAGAACTCTCACATCAAGTACACAGAAATGAGTTTACCATCATCCAGGGTCTTCTCATTGGTCCAGTTGGTTCTCTCTTTCACATTTTTGAAGTGTGGGTGTTTCTCACTAAGCCCAGTATCAAACACTGCAACCTTCACCCCAGAGCCTGCAAACCAAAAGCAAAACCCGTTGCAGCTAACAAGGACAACCAGAGACCCAGAAGTACATCTTCAAAAAAAAATGTGCCTTTACAATGAGGCTTAAAAAACAGGAATCCAACTCTCAGGTGCTAGACAAACCCTCTAATAATACTTAACTAGAAATGGAATGTTCTTTAATTCCCCCACAGCAGTGTTTAGCTTTGTCGCCACAGGACTACTGCCATAACATTTTTTTGTACAGCTGCCAAAGTGAGCTTGGAGTCCCATGTGTTTAATGAGAGGTTGCAGAGTAGATGAGACCAGCTTGAAATAAACACTCCTTAGTCTGATTTCCATTTCTCCTTCCTGCACGGATAAAAGCCATGGGTTCTGAACAATGGGAACTAAAAAGAAGGGCACTTGAATATGAAAACACCTCTTTACACAAAGGGCTGTTGGAAGCCAAAACCTGGGCTGCTTCCAAGTAAAGGCTGGGGGAAAAATCCGCAAGTCAACTAGTTATAAAACTACCTTTCAGATGGCCTCCTTCAGTTTGTATTCTAATGTTCTTCACAACTGGACGATGATGATTTAGCACAGACCACGAAGCTTCAAAGGCCACGCCACGCGTGTCTACACATCTACAACACGAAACATTCCTGCTGTCGGCGGGCACAATCTCCACCGCTCGTAAAATCCCCTCACCGGGCTCGTACCCCCCCCCCACGCCGGCGCGGGCAGACGCCCGCAAACGCCACACGCCCGGGGCCCTGCTTACCGGTGTGCCCCATCTGCCAGAGGATGTCGGCCTGCAGGATCTGCGCCACGTGGCGCGGGATGGCCCTCAGAAGGCGGCGGCTGGAGTGGCGGCCCGTGGCGTGCCAGAACCCCGAGCCCAGCGACAGGCTGGCGCGGCGCAGCGGCCGCGAGGACTGCCACTTCTGGGTCCAGCGGGTGTCGTTGCACGGGGCGGGCGGGTCAGCTGCTGGGAAGCAGAGAATCATGGGGAATCTGTGCGTCGGGGGCGGGGAGGGGAAGCCTCTCGCCCGCACCCACAAAAAAAAGAGAGGTACTGTCTTTCTGTTTAATGGGGCTGAAGGCTAGTCTAACCCTGGTCTCTTCAAAATGAAAATACTTGGAAGAAAGATCAAAAGCTGAAAAAGACTGGTGCTGCTTCACAAACGTGTGTGCAGCCAGAGGTCAGAATGGCACTTTATCTGATGGCTAAAGGGTTCTGGCAAGACCAAACATCAGCGAGCTTGAAATACAGCCTTTCTGGAAAAAAAAATAAAGGGCTTATCAATTTTTCTTCAAAGAACTTTAAATCCCAATTTAATCACTGAGCAAAGACTTATCTTTCAAACAAACTGAATGGTATATGAAAAGTAATCTTAAGGAACAGATCAAAAGACAACATTGTAGAGTAACACGTCTATTTGACAATTAATTAGCCCTAAATTACCAAGGACAAAAAAAGTTTTTGTACTTCAAAATACTGAAATACATTTAGCAAGCTAGCAAGCCACATTTCCATCCATTTTGAGAACTAAAAGATTACAGTGCCTGAAGTTTAATTTGCCCATTCTAATTAGATATGCCTTTAGTTTTAAGGCTAGCATTTAATGCATGAATGCTGCAAACAATGTGTTAACGACACACCGGGTCCAGAAGGAAAACAAAATAATGTAACATGCAAACTCAATAGAAACACAAGAGGTGTTTTGTATCGGGGCCTTCCCTAAGGGTATGGTGTTAAGGGGGTGGGAGAGGGGCTCATTTCATAGCCAACTGTTCACCCCTTAGAACTAAATTCTTATATTGTAGATAATTAAATAATTCACAAAAACTTTGTCACTGGCTAAAACATTGAGCCATGTGCTGAAACTGACCCTTTCTGAAGCCCCCAAAATCTTCTGGTGTAAATGTACCCCAGAACTGCAGACTGAGACCTTCAACGGCTCACTCCAGCCAAGCCATTCAAATCTACAACTAAGCACACGTCCCAACATGCATCTCCTCACTCCAACAGGGCAGGAGAGAAGGTTCTCAGCACTGCAGTTCATCAGAACCAAGCTGGCATGGCAGAAATTGCTTCAGACAAAAGAGAAGAATTACAACACCTAACTCCTTGATTTAAAGGATTCACAAATCCTCCTTCGTTACACCTCCTCCTGAGCTTTCCTAATCCTCGCCCTACACAGGATTGCAATATGTGTAACTGTCCCACACTGAGCACACAGACCTCGTTCCTAAAACAGACACGTTAATTAAAAGAACAGGGAATAGGCACTGGTCACCAGCATTAACCCCATAATTACACCATCACAGGCTTGAAAAGGAAAACTTACTGGGAAAAAAAAAGTGGGTGTGCCCTGAAACCAAATCCAAATCTTTGCAAAACAACAGAAAAAAAAAAGTCTGGGTGTGTTCTCCGAAAAACACACAGGATTATTCTGCTCTTTTTCGGTGCAATTACAGAGGAAGAAAAAGAGACCTCCCCCACCCCCACAGAGTCTTGTACTGTGGTCTCACTTTCATGCGCTCCTCCACAACGAAATTCATAGGCAAAACAGACCTCAAAATGTGCATTCAAATAAATCACCACCCATAAATAAAACAAAGTAAAAAAAGCACACTCCCGACAGCTCCCCTCCCCTACATTGAGATATTGTAAGTACTATTCAGCCAAAAATTGTGGTTGTTCTTTAAATTGCCACTGTAAATGAGAACAGACTGTCGGCAGGAAGTTATTGATTTAACGCACTGCTAAGGAAGCAGGGCATGCACTGCCTCAACACAGCTCTGCTCCCACAATGAATGAATGAAACCAACCAGAGCATATACCCGCCTTTGCCATTTTTTGCAATCTGTTGCCAGACACCCTTGAACTCCCAAGCGCCAGCTCGACGGTCAGCAACAAAGACGAAAGGTTGACGAGAGAGAGTGGAGGGGGGTCACTCACAGTGGGTGAACTTGAGGCTGCGGAACACCTTGCGCTGGGGGGTGACTCGCTTGATGTAGGGGTGGTCCTGAAGCGTGAGCACCCCGTCCTGGGCGGACTGCCGGATCTGCACCACCTCGAAATCGCTCGGGAAGTCGCTGGCCGGGTTGTCCCGCAGCACGATCCGCCAGCCCACGGCCTTCGAGCCCTTCAGCGCGCTCGAGATGAACTGGCTCCTGGCTTTGGCAGTGAAGTACCCATTGAAGGCCACTATGTATTCTAAGACAACGCAGAGAATAACATTTACTCTTCGTACCGCTTGCAAAATTGCAGCAGATCCATTCAAAAGATTCTCTAGCAGGACAAAAATAAACTGCAGTGGACTACAGACCACCAGTGTGGGGTCAGGCGTTCTAAGAAGCAGAAAAGGGACTTCCCACTAAAGACTGGGAACAACCCATGTGAGAACTGTATGAGGTGAAACAAACTGTTCATTCAGGACCCAGTTTTCCTAAACACACCCTTCTTGAAAGCTAAGGATGAATGCATACCTCTCAGACCTGATATACTGGACCTTTTACATTTTCAAAAAGGGTACAACTTAACATACGGGTTATGCTGTTAAAAGATGGCACAAAAACATCACAGCAAAACAAAGGTTCTGTACAAGGAATTGCCAGCACATCTCCCTGGAGACCTCAAACTTGTGTCTACTGGTTTTTGTTCCAGCAGAGCTTCAGATTTAACAGGTCCAGTTTAATTTGGGGAATTTACTAACCAGACACTATGAATTGATACCTGAAGAAGGCTCCACAGCTGAAACGTTGTTTCCTTTCTATTGTTTCAGCATGAAATAAATCTTTACTCGTTCCTTTGCAGCCTACGCATGCTGATGCGGCTACCTACTTGAACTAACTCATTGATGAATTGCTGTATCTCCTGAAAATGACAATTTACAAATGAATAAGTAACTTACAAACCACAGGTTGTATGACCAGAGATTAATGAAGAAGGCAGAATTAACCAAATATTTCATTAAGTATCAGAGGTCAGGTGGCAGGCACTAGGGTCACCTGGACAAGATGGGGAACTAACTGTATTCAGCCTTGGTACTCCCATTCCATTACTGTACTTTGAAACTCCCAATAAATTACAGAACCAATCCTTAATTGCTCAAGTAAAATGCAGAGTATCACTTTAACAATAAAGAAGTAGCTGGAGTAAATGACTCGCAACGAAAGCACCAAGGCTGACCACCCCTGACCTGTACTGTATCTGCCCAGCTCTCTCAAAGGGTTCACAATGCACCATTCGGTGAAGCACAAAGCCCGTATTCACAGCAAACAATCAGGCAGACATTCCAGCTATAAATATCATGTTTTCTTCTGGCACAGACAAAATTGACAGCTACTGTAGCTAGGACTGTGGCCCTTTAAGGAAAAGGCGGTGCGATTCCAGCACTCTGGGACGCCAGCCAGTGAATCCTGCCTCTTGCAGTGACCTGAACCCGATACAGGACTGCAGCTCCAGAGAAGGCTCCGAGCTCCAGTCCCAGATCAACACCACTGACTTACTGTACAAATGCCAGGGGTGTGCAGTGAGCACAGCCAGGACTGAAAAGAAATGCTTTTGTGTTGGGGTTCCAGAGGTTTGCTTTGCAGATCTATCCTTGCTGCGTTTAGTGCAGAAAAATACAGATGTTTTTATTTCCCGGAAGGTTTGACAAGAGCACCAACTTGGAATTAGCCGTCACAATTCACGAAACGTTAATTTGAGTTCTACCTGAGGACACTCCTTGGGTTTTAGTTTGCAAAGTGGCTCAGCTGCTGAGACACAGAATGTATTTGTTCCTAAATAAAAGGCATTTTAAAATAAAAACAAATTTCAAGAACAGGGCCATAAATATCATTATCTCCTCCTATAATGGAGTAAAGCTGACTATACAGATTAAAGTCCACACATACCATATTGCTTGACTCACTCCACTATCTGGTAGGCAAACAGTCAACTTGTTTATCCTTAGCAGATGTATAAGTGTATGGTTAAAAATAGCAGATTATTGGAGTTTTGCACATTATATGGTGACATTATCAGGTGCTGTTTTTGGTAACAGTTCTCAAGTCCCACAGCACATTGTGTGTATTTTAGGAACTTTAAAAACCCAGAAACAGTGATGGTAGACAGATCATTGCCGTTACAAAGTGGATCAACATTTTCACTTTAACTCAACATATCACCATGTATGTAATCCCCAAAACAAGAAGAAATTATATTCACATGTTAGTTCAACAGTTTTGGTGAATACCTTCACAAATTAGATTAAACACTGGTTAGAATACCATTTAACACATTCTACACCATATATGTTAACTGCGAGTTTAACTGTTTTGTGTCTTATCCAAAAATCCAAAATATCCAAAAAATGGCCAAATTCACACAAAAAAACCCTACAGATTTTGTATGATTTATATTCATCACAAAAAATAGGAAAAACTAAGATAAGATGGGTTGGACAAAGCAGTCGTATGCGTTACCACCTGGGAAGCAACGTTTTTGGACACCATTTAGCTACGGATATTCCACATTTCATTGTGAGAAAACAATTCGAACCTTCACTAATGAGATTCAATGAAGTTTAAAAAATGGTTAAACGCACATCAGCTCATGGTGCAGCGAGAACATGACAATCACTGCAGTAACTCAATTCACATCTCCTCCAGGTCGCTTTTAATGGCACAGTGCCCCAGCGGCTTGGTGAAACGTTCAAAAAGCGCAACACCATGGAGCTCCCATCTCAAGCTCAACCTACCGTGTTCCACCACCGTGGAGGAGAACTCCACTTTGAGGGTGAGGTGGGAGCAGTTGGGGCACAGGAGCCCTTCAAGTGAGGTCGCAGCGCTCCCTGGCCACGTCCCCAGGGGCCTCCTGCCACACAGCAGGACCAACAGCACCGAAAGCCAGACAGCGGTGAGCTTCATGGTCCCCAAGGCGTTTCACACCGCGCTATGTATTCCCAAAAGGCCCTGTGCAGGCCTCAGTTCATCCCTCCCATAAGGGAGCTACGCACCGCACTTAAGCGCAATCCAAAAGAAAAGATAAATAACAGAACGATGGGAACAGGTCAAGTGTTTGTTGCCTGGTCCATGCTAAAGAGGCCTAGTTGAAAGGCTCAGTTCTTTTCTCATTTCTTTCTGCGTTTCTTCTCCATCTTGGAGGGCGCGGCGTGCCGTTCAGTCCTGCAGCTCTGCGTGCATCAGGGATTCCATTTCCAAACAGGGGAGAAAAGGATGACTCATTGAACTGGCCGCTCTCCTCCCACACCTGAAACCATAGGGATGACAAGTTTAATATGCAGCAGCTCTGCCGTAACACGATGCATGAGGTAAAACAATCTTTTGGGCCTTTTGTTTCTCGGGCAGTATCGAAAATATCGGACAAAAAAGAATTTGTCATCGTCTGTAACAGTATGGGGGTAAAGCTTGCAGAAAACCATTGACGTAAATTAAACTAAATAAGGGCTTTCTGAACGATCAAAGAAAGGAAGCCCCAATCGATTGTTTTAAAAAAATGGGTGAAGGAGAGAAAGTTGTTTAAAGTCTGTTCCACTGCTCGAGATGCAAGCAAAGCTCAGCCGCCGTCTTCAGAACATTCACTATTATTACACGCCTGCAGCACAGCACACAATTAAAAAAAAAAGTACAAGACAAATCTAGGCCAGATCTTTTCCTGTTTGGAAGCACTTTAAAGGCAACACGCCATACCCTGAGCCTTTTTCATTTCCATCCCTTTGCAAGCTTACAGAACAGATTTTATCACACACAGGACAGTGAGACCGAATGATCCCCAAATATATTTTTTGCATTTCACCACAGGCTCCAGGCGTCGACAAGGCTCCATATACTGTATACAAGCAGACATCTCTCTTTATAAGGCTGAGTTTGAACAGTGGTCTCTGCCTGAGGACGTCCTCACCTGAGCCCCAACCCATGCAGAAGGAGGTTTGCTACTCAGGGCTAGCACAGTGCTGGATTGGAGGCTGACTCTTCTGTAGAGGGCTGCTCTGCTCTTCAACCATTAATGGATTTTGTGTTCAAGATGTGACCTGCAGCCCAGATGGACACCGGCAGTGCCTCAAAACTGCAAGGATCCCTGATGAATGAAATGTCCTCAAGTCTAATGTGAGATACAGTTGTAACATGAGTGGGGGTCTGGTCACTTATGTCAACATTACACTGCCATGAGAACTTTTCAGAGTGCAGATAACACCATAATACAGACATTAGCTCACCACCTGGGGGAGATAAAAGTCCTGTACCCAGGCATTTGGTCTACTATACAAATAGCGCATACAGCCCTATGAGAATGACCAGGATCTACCCTTAACCTGCAGGCATTTCAGCTGCTTTTAACAAGATTTTACACAGCCGGACTGCCCACTGCAAAAAAGAAAGATGATGCACTGACACAGACAGCATGGTTTTCTACTGATGGGACACTGTGGGTGGTCCTTTTGAGCACATATGCACTGTATATGGGACCTAATTACAATGCCAGCATGGAAGGGAGCAAAACATTTACAGGGTGCAGAATTTCACACCTCAACAGAATGCGCATTTCATGTGGTTTATTTGTTTCAATGCAAAAAGCTTAACATTATTAATCAATCCTCTACCAAAAAGTAGAGCTTTCGGAGGAAGAAATTCAAGAAGGCAACATACTATGATACAAATACACCTTTTATTCCACATTTTTATTCCAAGATAATAAAGCATGACAGAACAAAAGCTGCAGGGTAAACTATACTCACCTCACACTCTATCACGAGTTCTTTTTTCTCTGTGAAATATCCCAAGGTACCAAATCAAAGCTCATCTGAGTAAAGGTGGGATTGAGGTAAAAACAAAAGCAAACAGAACAGGCCAAGGACTGGATTACTAATTCGCCACATTCACGTAACAGGAGGAACAGGATCAAGGATACGCTACAGCTGTGTGAAAGAGCTGCAGACACACCTTCCTGCAGAAAGCAAGACAAACAGCACAAAACTGTTTCACGCTTCAATTTTCAAAAGCATTTTTGGTGTGATGCTTGTTTTTATGCATACAAGGCAAAGCGACTTCGTTAATAATATTTGTCAAGATAAGAATTTGCTTTATCTTTTGATGATCCAGCTCTGGAATTTGATAGTCATTATCTGGGTGTTAATAACAGCATTATAGAAACCGCTATACACATTAACTAATCGGTTAAAGATATCTGTTCTTACCTTATCTTAAAAACTCATTCCCTTTACTGATGGGGTTAAATACAAAACAGAATAATCCAGTACAGCAAGGATATCTTCACATCCTTAACCCCAGCAGAAGGTTTTGGGGTTTTTTTTTGCCTGGAAGAGGCAAGTTCAAATACAAACTCTGCTTCTTCCACTGCTGAAACAATCTGCACTTCTTAAGACTTAACAATTAGTTCATGTTTTCCGACTCTTGATTGACTTAATATTCTTGCAGGCAGTAGTGTGACGCAGTGTTCAGGTTTCTGGACTTGTAACTGGAAAAACTGTAGGCTCAGATCCCAAGTGAAGAGCCCTGTGATTCACTATTATTACACGCCTGCAGCACAGCACACAATTAAAAAAAAAGTACAAGACAAATCTAGGCCAGATCTTTTCCTGTGAGCCAGGTATTTCCCCAATCATACCTTCTGTGCTTTTGACGGCAATGAAGCTGATGGCTTCAAAATCAGTCCCTGGATGGAAGTTGAAAACTACTCTTTTAGACCCCATGTTGTCATTTGAAAAGCACAACAAGTAGAGGGATCCTTGCAACTTCTTCCACCTCATATTTTAAGACCCTTGCTCCAACTATCCAATATAGAAATACTGAACTTGCCTTTATTGCCTCAAAACTAGAATATTGTGATTGATTGATAAATTGATTTAATGGTATATTTTTAAAGGTACTAAATGAACTTTTAAACAGGCTTCAGTATGTCATCTGTGGATCACATGCCAACTAAAAGCATTCTGCATGCACACATAACTCATATCTTTCGTAAACTGCACTGTTCAAAGCGAAACTTGAAGTGGTCTTTAAGGTTCTCCTGACCACCTCTAAGGCACTGAATGGACTGACACCAGATTACTTTAGGGGTTTAAACTTTACAATATGTGCCTATTCAGGCCTTCTTTATCGTCTGAAGATCGGGCTCTACACGATTAGAGATGAGCTTTCGCCAATAGAGCACAATGTCCGTGGAGCCACTAATCTTTCAAACGCGCTTAAAGACCCCTTTTCACCACAGCGTTAGCGATATAATTTCGTATATAAAAACACATCGTATCGTGTAATTTAACCATGGTGTTACTGGGTCAACAGACCGCGCTTCTCCCTCCCAGTCTCTGGCTGTACCACTTGCGTGCAACCGCAGGGCACCGAATTTCTCAAAAGGCGCTCCAAACAGCTCAAATTATAATCACCCGCTTCTCCATTTGAAGCACTGACGCGCAGCATTAAACGAGCGGCAGATATCACACCACGGCTTCGGAACTTGCAGATAAAAAGCACAAAGACCGACCCACTGCAGAACAAACTCTGGGTGCCCAGATCTCACACTGTAATTAAGAGGCAACTGCTGCACACGTACAACATCTGGTCCCGTCGCCTGAAAACCAGTGGGGGACCACAGCAAAGCTCATCTGAAAAGCGAAGGCCCGGAATTTCTTTTTAAAATCACTGCATTCGGCAACCTCCCCATGCTGCAGTTTTCATTAGGCTCCTAAAATAGATGAACAAGCCAGCCGAACAGCCTACTTTCCCCCCATCAGCCTGTTGCAATCCAGACAAGCCCAAGGCTACAACTCCGTGTTTATGGAGGCCTGCATACGGCTACCCAAATTTCTCTATGCATTTCCATATTAAGTGCAAATCGGTTTCATCCTCCGTTAGCTTATTGATGTAACAAACCGAGAAGAGCCCGATTCCCAGGACACCAACGCACGGAGTACAAAGTTGTGTACGTCCACCGCTCGTCACAGGTCATGACTGAGGATGCTGTTTATACTCGAGAAGTGGAGCATTTTAAAGCAAACACTGGGCTCCCTGGGCCTCTGTTTTTTTTTTTCTTTAAACAGTAAACACCGAAAAACAAAGTGTGCTGCCATGCAAATTCAAGTTAAGCAAATCTCTTGAGATGTGGCCCCGCAGACGACGCTACCCCACCACAGCAACGCACACGACCTGGAAATGGGCAGGCAGGGACACTCATTCTTGCGGCGTTAAAGACAAGTCGTTTTACAATAGAGTGACTTGTAAAGAGCTAAAGGGCTTGTGCTTAACAGGCAGACGTCCTCCTTCGAGTCCCGGCCAGCTGCAGAACCTACAGGCCTCGGTGTTTACCCCAGACCCCCGTCTCAGCGGTCTAACTCTCTCCAGCGGCAATCGCACCACGATCGCTAAAAAACACGCGAAGTAAACTCACTTCCTTAATTCATCGTCGCGGCTCCTCGTCACTGCTGCTTCGGAAAAACACGACACCCAGATTCAGTCGCTCTTCTCTTAGCCGTGTGTTGTTCAGAGTGTATTGCCCCAGACACCAAACTTCACCATCTCTCCCAACTGACGTTTTTTCTCAACGCCGTCACGGTGCACAGCTGCTTCCAGTGGCTGTCTGGGAGAAATTGAGCCCGCCCATTCTGAGGGGCAAGGGGGGGGAAAAACGGTGATTGACAACCATACAGAGCAATCATTGGGAAGAATTTAAAATCGACGTTGATGTTAACCAATGAAAAGAGAGACGTCTGAAAGCCCGCCCATCATTTCTCAATTTCCACCAACCAAACAGTGTGATTCGGCAAAGCTCCCATTCCCCTTATTCCCTCACCAATCAGAGTCGGAGAAGAGCCGGTAAAAAAACACTAGGACACTAGCCAATCACCAGAGCTAAAACTTACAGGGGGGCGACACGAAGAAGATAGGCAGGTGTGTTGTCCAATCAGAATGGCAACTTCGTTCCTATGGTAACCACTGCGAAGCGTCTTATCCGTGTTGGGGGCAGTTATTGATTGTGGTCACCAAAAATAAAAAACTTTTTAAAAAAGAAAAACACAGAAGTAAGGTAAGTGCTGTGACTCTTATTTGGAGAAAAGATTAAATTGATAGAAGCTAGAAAAAATTGGAAAAGGTGTCTCAGATTACTTACACTGTATACGCGTCTTCAGTTTTTAACACGGTATTTGGCTGAATAGTTGTAGTGTTTCGGCCTGGCAGGGAAACAATTGACAGACAAATAAGCCACATTATTCTAGTTACTGAAGTTGCCATAAAATATAATTTGAACTGTAGTGATTTACGCATGAAAAGCGCTGTGTCTTAAATTGCTACATTTTCAATGTCCGTTTGTAGTATTCACGTACTGTAGTAATGCTTCACACCAATACATCATTTACTACTGTGATTAAGCTGTTTGCTGGGACCTAAAGTCGTTTTTGACTAGGAAATCGTGTGGCAGTCGGCATTTTCAGACGCATTGTGTAGTTTTAAGCTAGTTTTCAATCTTGTTTACATTGCTGCCATTGAGTTTACAGTTTCTGTCTCTTATCGCTTTTGCCTTCGGTTGGAAATCGTCTTCAGATGATGCGTCATGTCATGTTCAGGGCCAGATTTCCAGGAAGTCAATTTACCTATCAGTATGTTTTTTGGATTGTGGGAGGAAACCCACACAAACAAGGAGAGAACATACAAACCCCATGCAGACAGCACCCCAGGAATTGAACCCAGGGCCCCAGCCCTGTGCGGCAACAGTGCTGACCACTGCGTCACCCTGCCGCCCCACTGTCATGTCAATTCATGTTAATGTTCAATAAAATAAAGATGATGATTAGTACTGTATGTCTCAAAGGACCAAACATGCACCCAGAGCAACCGGACTCTGCCGAGCGTGAAGCCACACTTGATAACCAGTCACTGCGAGCTGGGGATGCAGACGATCTGCAGACAGGCATGTTAGCGACCGTCAGACCAGGTAAAAGAGCACAAACCACTCGCATGAGCTGCCTAACCCCGATTGCTTCAGTGCGGAGCTGAACCGAAAACACTCCTAGGCTGATGATTAAGACATGGGCAAATCGTCCTGCCTTCTGAGAGAAGCTAATATTCTCACAAGCTGTTGCAGAGTAACAACCGATCACAACCCATACAAAAAAAACAAACACTTTTACTCACCTGCAGACGCCTGTTCAGCTCACGGAGACGCCAGCAGTGCGGAAAGTGCAGCCAAGAGCGCCGAGGATGTGCACAACAACAACCCCCCGACAGGAGAGCAGAAGGGAGGAAAGGACGGTGGGCCGAGGTGACTGCAGATGTCCTGTCTGACATTTCAAATCGTATCCTACGTCCTAAAGAAAACACGCGATTGATGCGGAGGAGTAATACCTGGTGTACTGTAGATTAATGCTTAATGCTGGTCTGGGGGGTGAAAACCACTTACTGAACATACAAAACGAAAATGAAGAAAAAAAAAACAGCTCCCATAAAAGCTTTACAGCCATTTAAAAAAATAATAGTAATTGTTTTGTTTTATTATTATTGTTCCAGAATAACAAAGCAATTTCTGAGAAACCACTGCAAGCAACACAAACTGTACCTGACTCCTTACCTGAATGACACTCTGTACCTGCACTATAAAGGTAGACTCGGGGGTTCTTTTTGCTATAGGTGGGAAGACGTTTATTCCTACCTATATTCCACTTGTTCTGGGAATAAAAATCACTTTAAGACCTGACAAAGCACAACTGTAATCTATTCCGTTTAGCTTTTTATGCTTCAGATCTGTACAGTAATTCTTAATATCTACAAGAAACGTAACTTACCAGTAACTTCATGTTTCGGTGTATTCCAGGTGTTATCTTCCTCAAAACTGCGAATTAAGGTTTGTGTCTGAAATGCAATTCTTGGTGTTCTTGCGTCCAGGTTTTGCAGTGATTGAAAACCTAGAGGAGTACACTGGTTTGAAGTGCCTGTGGCTGGAGTGCAATGGCCTGCAGAAAATTGAGAACCTGGAAGCACAGACTGAGATGCGATGCCTCTTCTTGCAGCAGAACCTGATCCGCAAACTGGAAAACCTGGAGCACCTTGAAAAACTCAACTCCCTCAATGTCTGCAACAACTACATTGAGACTATAGAAAATATCTGTAGGTGTCAGCTTTGCTGTCTTTATGCCATTTTGATGAGAAAAGAATCCTTGAAGATGCACGTACATCCACACAATTCTGGCTTAGATATCAGACACTGTGCCACATGGAACAAGTAAAGGTTCATTCCATGCTGAAAAGAAAAGAAAGGAAACACAATGTTTTGGCTGTGAAGCCTTCTTCGGGTGTCACATTGTGTTTCCTTTCTTCTCTTTTCAGTATGGAATAAACCTTTATTTGTTGCTTTGCAGCCTGCGCATGCTGACGCAGCTACAGTACCTACTTGAACTAGTGTGTCACAAGTGCCACAGCAATGTTTATCACAAACAAGAAGATTAATAAAATGTTTGTAGTTAAACAAAAAGCATTATGATGCTATATCTGATGCTATATCCCTCCAACCACATGGATCGTTGGCTGTCTTTAGCTAGAGCAGGGCCTGGTGACTTCGGTTTTCTAGCCCAGCCTGAGTAGTCAATTCAACAATTAACCTAATTATTGTCTAAGACATACTGTATAAAGGTTTTTTATTCAAGTGTTTTACATTAGTTTATTGACAAACATACACTTCAGTAACAGTAGAGCCACCTATAAAATACTTTTAAGCCTGGTTGGAAACTTTCAAAATTATAATTAAATAATAAGCTGTGTAACTGAGTGTTTGGGTGAAACACTCAGTCTCCAGGAAATAAGTCTGACACCCCCGTGAGTCCATCGGTCTTTTAAAATGTGTTTTTGATCATGCACCTTTTTGATGTACAGTATCATGATATGTTACGACTTATGTCTCTGTTTTTTAATTTCACAGCTTGCCTTTCTGAGTTGAATACTCTCCAGATGTCACACAATCACTTGGAGACGGTGCAGGATATCGAGCACTTGATGGAATGCCCAAGCATCAGTGTTCTTGATCTGTCTCACAACAAACTGAATGATCCAGACATAATTCATGTTTTGGAGATTATGCCTGACTTGGTGAGCTAAAAGCACATTAAACTGTTTTTAATCTCTTGAAAGTCTAGTAAAGGTAAAATGGTATGCAGAAAGAATATGAGCAATCCTATCTTGATATTATAAGTAGTAATTTTCTAGAAGGCAGGATTATAACCAAAGAATTTGTGTTATCAATAGCTACTTTCTATGCAGTCAAAATGTGTTTAATGTAATCTATCATATTAAATCCCAGTAATTTGTGATTCTAGAGTATAAGAAATTTATAATGATGTATGCAAATCATGCTATAATAAACTTATTTAAGCAGTGCCTATACTGAATTTGAATTGTTTAATGGAAAATTTCAGAACTATATTAAACCTATTCTGAAAAACATGATACAGATTGTTAAGAAAATATAGGCTTCTCTTAGCAGTAGGTAATTGTTGTTTTTGTTTTCTATGTTTAGCGTGTGTTAAATCTAATGGGTAATGAAGTAACCAAGAAGATACCCAACTACAGGAAAACATTAATTGTACGCTTGAAGCAGCTTACATACTTGGATGACAGGCCAGTGTTTCCAAAAGACAGGTAAAGACAGGTGTTGCTCTTACTCCTGTTGAATTAAATTTAAGTATATGAATGAATACTAATGGAATTCAAAAAAGCTTTTCGTGCATATAAAAATAAACAGCCCTCCCATAATGAAATCAGCTCTGCCAATGTTTAGAAATGTTGCATTTTTCTACTTTTTCATTTCTATGGTAATCTTCTACTGAAATAAAAACTATGTAATCCAACGGTTTTATCTGATAGATCTGTAGTATAGAAAGTATCATTTTAGCTCTATGGATGTGTAGACAGGAGCACACTTTGTATAGACAAACAACACCTGAAATGAATCACTTGAACTTGATTGGTAAATGTGGTATATTAGCCACTAAACCAATTTAGTGTTCAACAGCTCATGCATAGTTTACCTGGAGCTTTTAAAGATTGTGGTCAGCGTGAGTTACAGATTGCTAAATCATAAAGCTGACTTCTTCTAATCAAAACTTAACTCTACGAATAAGAGTCATAGCTGAGTACACCCTTGAATACATTTTTAATGCTAAGAATATGCATATTACAAACTCCAGATTGTATCTAGGACCGCAATGCAGTTTGTTCTCAATGCAACACATTGTCACTTAACCCACTTAGCAAAACAAAACAAAACTGTTTTGTAATTAAAAAAATAATTTGCTGAGCAAGAAAATGTACACAAAATTAAGGATCTTATAAATTCTTTGAAAATACCGTATTAGACACTTCAGTTTAATACAGTGCAGCATACAGTAGCTCCATGGTAAATAATCATGTATGTACTGTATGTGTCTGATCAAGAGCCTGTGCTGAAGCATGGGCAGCAGGAGGCTGGGAGGCAGAGAAGGAGGAGAGACAGAAGTGGGAGACGAGAGAGAGAAGGAAGATCCAGGACAGCATCGATGCCCTGGCTGCCATCAGGGAGAGAGCCAGAGAAAAACAGAAGCTCAAGGAAATGGAGGAAAGAGGTTTGGTGTTTTAGAATGTTCTTTAGGACCCTAGAATCATAATTTTGTAGAGATGTAGTTTTAATTTAGTATAAGAAGAACTGTTCATAATGGAGATTATGTCATGTTGGCATAGGAGACAGTGTGCCTCAGATATCCAATGATGAGAGTCAGCAGGACACTGCTGGTGAGTCTAAGGGTCCTGCTGTTCAAGAGAAAATCGAGACATTTGTGGATCAAAGCATGCAAGCCCATGAAGAGTTCCTGAATGAAACTGCTGAAAGAGATCAACAAGGCAGGCGGGGACAGACAGAGACTGACAGCGAGCATCCAAAGCTGAACAAGCCTGTGGAAGAAAACAAGCAGGCTAATTCAGCGCATTCAGCAGCAGGTAACACAAAACACATGACAAATATTCAGTATTATTTTCAAGCATATTCTTTCACTGCACATGCTGTTATAAATCCCTTTGTGTGACAATAACGGTGCCGTAGGTTGCTGACCCATGTTCTCTTGAACTTTGAAAAGGGCACAGAACATGCAACCCCTTAAGTGGTTAATAACTTATTTCTTACTATTGCAGATGTAGCAACTGACTTTACAAACACTTAGTAATTCTACTAATTCTTTATCCTTATTGTTTCAGAAAAAACAGGAGGTCAAATGGCTACTCAGGGTGCCTTAATAACAGAGCTTGAAGACACAGACACATTAGAAACTATTAAGCTGGATAATCAACAAAAGATCTGTATTGATGTAAGTATCTGATTAATTTCCAGATCCTGTTCAAATGTATATAAAGATTACTTAATGTAACTTTTGGTATATTCAATTAATCATATTAACGGACATTTCTGGCCCTTCTTTTATTTTCTTTTGGTTAACTTAGTTTAAGAGGTTTTTGCATTCTCTTTTGTGATAAAAGTAAATCACAGCATAATGTTGCTTGTTTCTTCTTTGCTGTTTTGTTGAAGGATCTTCCGGATTTGGAAGAAGTAGACATTGATGAAGTAAACAACACTGAAGACATTTTCAGTTCTCAGGTAATTGTTTTTTCTTGACTTGTAACTTTATTCTGCCAGTTTAATTATGCTAAATCTGTTTACCTGTTTTATCTGGAGAAGGTACTGTATTTGCTTTTGAAATAGGAATACATTTGAAAACACTGCATCATGTTTTCATCATGCAGCAAATTATATGAAGTTTTAGGGGGTGTTGGCTACAGTCACAAAAAATACAAGAATTGGGTTGTTGTGTTCTGTGTGATCTCTTGAAAACAATGGGTGCTAAGCAAACCCTTGAAACTATTGTCAGGGCTGGATTTTGGTGTTCATAGGCCCTAGGCACCTTCACTCTGAAATGTGGAAAAAGAGGGGTCAACGCCAATTGAATGACATCGATTGACATGATGCACTTTAAACTATTCTAATGCTAAACCATGTGATTTATGGAGCAAGTCAAGCGGCCATCACTTCAATACTTCTAGTTTCTAGAACAGCCGCTGGATAGCGTACGATTATTGATTTGGAGCACTTAGAGTCAATCGCAAGCATGTTGTTTCAGCCCGTTTTTCGTTAGTCACTAGTGTTTCCCTCCTTTGCAGGCCCTAAAACTTTCAAATGCCCTAGGCACTGACTATAGTCTTTAGTGTCTTTTTACCTATAAACTATAAATATTATTTGTATAGTAAGCAATTTTAATCATTTTAGCCTGTCTACCGGCCGAAAATCGAGATCATCTCTGCAGATAGTGACAACAGCGAGTCTGAGCTGGAGGGGGTGGAGGAACAGTCATCTGGGAATACCTGGACAGCAGAGATTTCAACACGGCCCGAGCAACAAGAAGCATCAGAGCTTTTCATTAGGGTTTGCAGGCATGAGCCTCTTACAGCCAAGCAGGTAGAGTCCACTGGGCTTATTACTGAACAAGGAGTGGCAGAAGCACAAAAAACACCAGAACTACTGACCAGAGTATGTAACAATGCTGATAAGTCAACCAGACCTCTAATAGAGGAGTTAGATTAGGGCCAAGACACTACCAAAATTTACAGGTAACATTAAACCTTACTGGTGTTGGCATTTTGTTGTAATCTGGCATTACTTTAGACATATGTTATCATTACAACCTTTTAGCTTAGTGGCAGAGCACCGGCATTCAGTTTATGCATTGTAAAGACTGTTGTAATATTTTCTTGCAATTAACTTTTATAAGTGTATTTTTTTTTCTCTGGAATAAAGACTTGGTCTAAACTGCAGCCCAACGAGTATTTCAGTATCCTATGTTTTTTATCTGGAAGGACAATGTATCTGGCAATAAGAGACAATAAGACAAGTTAAATGGTTTATTTTGTAGGCACATTATACACAGAACTAAGTGAACCAGTTCTTCATTAAAAAAGTAAATAAAATCTATTCATTATTAGCCTCCATTATAAACACTGAAAACACTTAAAAATACATCAGATACAAACATACTTTAAAAAACTTTTAAGACAGTGCTGTTTTTGTTTTGTACAATAATGGGTATATTTTCCAAACACAACTTGAGCATGATTTTTTATATAAACCATATATGAGATGTCAAAACAATAAGAGCAGTAAATATAAAAAATGAATTTACTTATTCCTAAAACGTAAATGATTTTAAATATTTTGGAATCATATCTACTGATCCGACAGTCCTGATGAGTCATCATCACATACAATTATTTTAACTGACTGTAGCTCAATTGGCGTCAATTAAATCATCTTTTGACCATGTGTAATAGAACTTTGATGACCTTTAATATTGTGGGTAGTGGCTGGCAACTACTTTGATTACACAGTATTCAAGTAGTTTATGATGAGTTGTAATTAAGAAGGTAAATTATAAAATGATTATTGTCCTATGTTGTCTACATAATCTGAACTATTTTGATCATAACAAATGAGGGGAAAAGGCCAAGTGACATCCAAATATCTATCACACGTTAAAAGAAAATACAAAGAACATTTAGAAAATGACCCAGACATTCTCTTTTATCCACAGGTCCTCTTAAAAGTGCTAGGGTCAAAAATGACTGCAGACCTCCTGCAGGTACAAAACTCTCCTTGCCAAAACAAAACACTGGTATTACAATTAATATTTTAGTCACTGAGACTGACAACAGCATGGACTACAATGGATCAAAATTTGCTATTCAGCAATTCCAGTATCTCAAAATTCACATCTCAAACAGAACGAAGACATTTTAATACTATAATCAAGAGTATAAAAAACACCTCCTCACAAAAAAATAAAAATTGAGTAGTGTACAGGGAATCCAGTAAAAAAATAATATTAAACAGTTACAAAGAGAAAAGGAATAAAATGTCCTTGAAAGTTTTAAAACAACAGTCACTCCTCCGCAACAGTATTGCAGTTTATTCCCATCTTCTGGTAAAATCTTGTACATGAAAATCAACCTACCGAAGAATAAAATCCAGCAGATGCTTAGGGGACTTTATTCTAGCGCCAAAAACACATTTTCCAAATAAACAACACACTGATGTGTTTTGGTGCATTCTTTAAAACTGATTTCAAAATAATGACACTGGAGATCTTAACTGGAATTAATTCACTTTTCTTTAGTTCCTCATACCTGCTGCATCAAGGACAAATGTACAAAAGTGTAAATGGACAAAAGTGTTTTTTTCCCCACCTTTCATACAATGACATTGCAAACACTGTCATTTTAATCAGCTTCAATAGAATGGGCCTTCCCTGCCTTTCCAAGAGTGCTAGTTCTGATGTAGACAAACATAATTTGTAGCTTATTTCTCCAAACCCAACTAAAAACTCTTTGAAGTCATGATGGAGAAGTTGGAATACCTGGGCTAAGGGAAGGTTTTGCAATTCAACAAGGACTGATGATCATACCTAACGCCTATTTAGAACACATCTTTAAAGTCTATTTTGCTACCTAAATTAACAATTATCCCAATGCTTGGATAATCTACAATGCAATATTTAAGAATGAAGCATAGTGGTAATGAAATGGACACATCCTAACTGGATTTTTTGGCACAATTGAACTTCACAGGAATGCCCATTAACACAGCAGTTCTGATTTCTCTTTTTGTCTAGTAGCATTATCAAAAGTTACCGCAAAAACTAGTTAAATAAGAATCCAAACTGGAATTTCTACATTTAATGAGCAGCTATTATGCAAGATGAAAAGAGAAAATTACTAAAGGATCTCAAATATTGTTTAAAATAAATAATTCTCCAAAGTCGCAATGCTATACATTTTCAACCAAGAAAAGATAATACTGGCATATAAAATAATTAAAAGAAAATACTATCAGACTTAGGCATCCATTTTCTGATTTGCCTTATTTTCTTTTTCCTTTGAGATAACATAAGGAACCAATGTGAAGGCAGAACTCTGCACTTTATAGGAAGTATTTGGTTGAATTTGTAAAGTGTATGACAGGCCATGCACCACATTCAGCATTTATTCTGGGCAAGATGAATGGTACTTTTACAGTAGTCAGAACTGTAATTCAATAGAAAGCTTTTGCCAGTGAAGAACCACAAAAAAAGGCAACGTCACATTTCAATAGCTGATGGTATTTGGCTTCTACAAAGAAATTGCTACTTCAGTTCTGTTTAATCTCACCTGACCATCTGAAGTTTTTTGATTTCAAATACAAGACAACAGGGTCTTTGTAGCATTCACAAGAATGTGAATCTTATGCAGCCAAATGGCTCAGCATGCAATAGCCAACAATAAATATCCACCTATTACAGAGACTTAGTTTCCAACAGCTTCATGTAAAATACCTAAAAAAAAACAGGGGTTTTGCCACAGTTGCTTTTGTCAATGTTGAAAAACAGAAAAGGCAGAGACAATATGAAACATGTCATCACAGTCAAAGTCTTGCTGTTTGACCTTGAGTGTCACTTTGTCCACAGGGTAACTATATTATATAGAAGAGGTTTCCAACCCTGGTCTTGGGGGACTTCTGCTTGCTCAGCTTTGCTCTAGCAAAGTTCTTAATCACTGGTTAGTAGATTTCCAATGTTATGTTTGGGTCTAATTTTTAAATACGTATTTTCAGGACTTAAAACCTTGAATGGGATTTATAATCGATACTGTACCAGTCTCCGCAAAACAGACAGAAATAAAAAGGGTAAGAAACTTCAGGAGACCTGAAGAACAGGAACCCTGCATAACCAAGCAGATCAATTAAAAGAATCAATTAGCAGTGATGATCTACTGTACAGCTCAGATGGAATGAAAAAACAGCAGACAGAGGTCCTACCAGGACTGGGAACCACTGGACTATAAGGAATGGAAGGTGCTGAGTGGCATTTAATACACTGCAAACCCTGTTTTTACACTTGCAGGACAGTGACAAGGTCTTTAGTCCAAGTTAATTTCATTTTAAAAAGTTGAAAAAATGTGCACAATAAAAAACTGATTATAGTTCATATTGGAGATACCCAACTAATCCAAAAAAAAACAAATGTTTATTTTTGGATGGCACACTATTTTTTGCACAGCTTTAACACATCTCAAACTTTGTGTAGGTATAAAAAGTGACCTCAATTATCCAAATAGCATCAAACGTGTGATTACAATCCAGTAACAGGAGAGGACTTATTACAGACAGAATATTTCTAATGATATTGGTTATTCTATTAAAAACATCACACTCTTGTTCTAGCACTTAAAAATATCATTAGCCCTGAAGATTAAGATCAAGAGAGTGTTGCACAGTGTGCAAAAGACAAGAGCTCTACAATTTTTACTTAAATCCTGCTAACTTAAAGGATCTATTGGTACACACCTATACTAAGCATGTTACTGAAGACAAAGCTTTTGTCGCAGTTTTGAGGTGGATTACCTGTAATTGTATAGCTGATTCAGCTCTCAATCGGAATATCCAATTGTTTTTTTGCTCTTTGTAATTAAATAACAATTAAGGTACGGGAATTTAAATGTTTAGAACAAAGATTGGACTACATACTGCTGATCCTGAAATCTTGTTTTTGAATTTGTTAAACCTTCGTTTTTTTTGTTCCCGTTACAAACACACTGACATTTCGGCATAACATTGTTTTAATACATTCCAGTTGCTCTTTTGTTTTTCCTGTGCATATTTTATTTATCCTCAACAGTTCTGCATGCAGCTACAGGTGAATGACCGAGATTCTTTCATCCTGGGGATTCGGAGTAAGGCCGCGGGGAATCTGCGTGCGATTCGCGGAACGACGCAAACGGACGCAAATCCGTGGCAAGGCTTTTGAGTGGAATTCTGTTCAACAGATCCTTCAGGTTCCGGAAGCCAAAAGACTTTAGAGAAAATCTCAATAAATAAATATTAGAGGGTAGAAAAGAGTGGGAAGGGGAGGAGAGAAGAGGGCGTTGCGCTGGGTTCCTTGCCGTGTCAGGGCAGCAGCGGGGCTGTGGCCGGGCCTCAGCCGTTGTACTGCTGCTGGTACCGCAGGTTCAGCTCGCGCAGCTCCCGCTCCCGGACCCGGCGCGACTTGTTGGACCTGGTGGAGCGGCTGGAGCGCGTGGACTGGGCGGACTTGGTGCTCTGGCAGCGCGAGGATGCCCTCTTGAGGAGGTTCTGGGAGATGGAGCGGTGCAGGTTCTTCATGGAGGAGGAGGCGGCCATGCTGACGATCCAGGGGTGCTTCAGGGCCTGGCCCGCCGTCATGCGCTCGCCGGGGTCCACGGTCAGCACGCGGTCGATGAAGTCCTTGGCCAGGTTGGACACGCTCGGCCAGGGCTGGGGGGGGTGGGGGGGGACAGAGAGAAGGACAAAGACAGAAAACACTGGTGGGAATCCAAAAGTGGCGGACAAGTTCACAGGATGTCCCCCTCTTTACACTCCCCCCACAGACAGGAAGAATCTCCCCACTATTACTCAGCGCTGTCATGCTCTGCTCCTTCAGATGAGCACAACTCTGAGCAAACGCCGCAGTGCTACAGGATATCAGCGGAGTGCATCTTGACACATATTTCCAAATAGCCAGAGAACAAGTCATTCAAAATCAAAATGTCCTACAGTACATGAAGAGACCACAGAGCTCAATCTGGAGAACATCGTCACTAGAGGGCAGCAAAGGGCAACAAAACAACCGGCTGCAGAGGAACTGTACTTCAGACTGCTGTTTCCTGGATCGCCCTGTTGCTTTTCTCAGAGAGGGTTAACCATTTTTTATTTTTAGTGGAAAAGCCTAGACCAGAGGTGTCCAGAATAGCCATTGAGAAAGATTCCTAAAGCAGGGTAGAGGGGCTTGGGAGCATCCCCAGCCCGGTAGCATAGCTACACGGGTTTTCTGCAGGGGGGAGATACAGCGGGGGGGGGGGTCCGGAAACAGGGAGCCAAACTGGAGACGCGTTTCTTCCTTTCTGCTGTCTCTCCCTACTGCTACACGTCACACTAACAGGACCCAAGATGATCGTTGAGACCAAAAATTGATTCACTTAAAGCAAAAATCAATTAAATGAATGACTTAATTCATCAATAATTTACAACTGCTCCTAATCCTTCAGAAGATTACACCCTCAATCTAGACAATATTCTGGAAAACAAGTTAAAGAATGGCCTTCAGAATATTATTTTAGCTACACATATAACTAATGAGAACTGCAAACACTAAAGAACAAGTAATAGGTTCATTACTTTGTTATTACTTTACTATTGGGTTTACCATCTTTGCTGACTGCCCTATCTTTCTTACACTCGAAAAAAGCTGCAGAGCCGAAACGTTGTGCTTTCGTTCTTCTCCTTTCAGCATTGAATAAACCTTTACTTGTTCCTTTGCAGCCAATGCATGCTGACGCAGCTCCCAACCTGAACTAGTTGCATTACCTAAGCCCTGCTCTTAAGACAGTTCCACATTAGAAGGGGGGCACAGAAAAAAATATTTAAGCTATTATGATGCTGTATTTAGGATAAAATACCTCTGACTTAATACTACAACAACCTCACAAAACTCTCACTTGCACTGTGTGCACTTAAGCCCTGTAAAGCTAGAGACCTCAAGCCCTATACCCACAACACATACTATTTCACTGCCTCAGGCAAAAGGTGAAAAATTCACAACACTTAAACCAAAAAATGGCTGCAGTGTTTCTCTGAGCTGGATTGCAATTAATGAGCTGTGTGCTTCATGAGGATTGTGACAAGTGACAAGACTGGGCTGAAACTTAAACAAGTCTCAGTTCAATGGAATGGTCTTTCCACAGTCTTAAGAAGCTGAAAATAATTCAGTACCAGACAGAACAACACAAAAAATAATGTCTGCTTTTTGTAAACTTCCAAGATCCAAAACAGGAAAGTATTTGCAGATGAACACCCATGCTGTTTGGTGGACATCAGACATGCATCAGGACACTGATGGCTGTAAATAACTACAGTGGAAACAGACCAAGTTTAGAAGTAATTCGCACTTCTGGCCAGTCCATTCAATCTTATCTACAAGAAAATAAATAAAAAACACATCTTATAATAAACATTCTAACACTGTACCTGGACCATCTTTAAATTAATTATGAAGGCAAATTTTGATGAACAAATTATGATGACTATTTTGACAAAACTGCAATAGGGCTTGTAGACATAAGCCTGTTCCTTTAACAGTTTTTTTAGACAGGCTTGAATGGTACATAGGACATCTCTGTGACACTTTATTGACTTAAAAACAGATTAAAGTGCACTGCACTCATCCATTAAAACAACCTAATAGAACAATTTTGTCATTTACACATAAAAACCTATGAGTGATAAAACTACCATATGTCATGAACAACTTAGAATTGCTAATAAATGATTAATTATGGGATGTAATATGCTGGAAGTGAGCCAGTTTCATACTGCCCTTAAACAAACTGCAGGCTTCTCCCAAAAGAGCAGGACATAATGCTTGATTTTCACATTATAGCTATATCAATTGCCGCAGAGCGCAAGCCAGGAGCAATCATTATAACGAGCACTGTTTCTAGCTTCCTGGGGGACTGACAGATTATGACTCGGCAGATTAAATAGAATTAAAAACTCCTAAAACGCCAGCCACTCCATTTCAGCTACCTTCCAAAGCCCTTTATATAAGCAGTGTGAAGACACTTCCATCAGAGATTGCTTGCAAAATGTTGATTCCCTCTTAGTCACACGTTAATACGTGTTCGCATTCTGCATTAAAAAATACAACATTCCAATTTCTAGTAGGTACTGAGAGTCTTTCCACCAGGGCCGCCTCCGAGTAGGTGCAACAGGATGACGGAGCCAGCAGAGCACGCAAGAGGCTCGAGTTCAAGCATCCAGCTGCACCAGCGAGGTGAAGACACTTGGCCTGGAAGATGCGCTCTGCACAGCTGCTCGAGAAACGAGGCAACACCGGAGCGCTCCTCACTGCTCAGTCCCACTACGCCACATCACAGAGCAACACATCCCCCCTTTAAATGCCAGGAAGAGAAACGCAAAGGTCAAGAACCCAGCAGTTCACAACCCTTGGAAGTCATCCAGCTCTGCACAGTCATGCTGGGGTACTGCACAGGCGATACGGTCATCTCCTTCAAACCCCCTGAAAATGTGATCGGATTGCTCAATCCACCTGCCCCCATGTCCTCTAAATTACCACTGGAAAAAATAAAATCCCTTTTTATTAAAAACAAAATACTGAACTATATTGAAAGCTTCTTGATGTGTTCCTCCTACTTAAAACTGATGTTGCTTTTTATTTTTTTAAGATGAATCTCTAGTTATTCCTTAATGCAGTATATGGTTTAAACCTGAATTTCCTTTCCTCTCCTTTTTGATGAAAACATGAAAGTCTGTGACAAATCTGACTCATGATACACCACAGACTTGTCCTGCATCTTCACTGAGGTCACCTACCGTCAGGGATAAAGGCTCTGAAAACATACGTGATCCAGAGGACACTGACTCACACACTAATACTCAATGGCCTTACTCATGTTCCTTTATTCCTCTCTGCAGGCAGTGAACTTTGCTTTTGGTTCTTCACTCTTTCCACTGTCTTCAGATGCACATCCTCGCATGATGCATTTTTGAGCTTCTTGAAAAGTGAAAGTTTTGGAAACTGATTCAGAATGAACACAAACCGGTGTCTGAGAAAGCACTACCTGTAGTCAATCACAAAAGCACAAATACATGCAGGACATAAAACTCCAACTGTTAATGTTGAAAAACGTCACATATCAGATATTTCCGGGTTAATCGTTTTAATCACTGAGGAGATTAATTTACATATGTTCAGAATTCTTGAACATCTCTAGAGACCATCCAAAATGCCTTACCCCTTTCCTGGGTTGAGGATGCTTTCAACCCACAGGATCGATTTTGTGTGACGTTTCCAGTGTATAGAATCGATCAGAGTTTTATGTGGCCTTTGACAAATACACCATTCATCAATACACAGTATTGTGTATTCTTTCCCCTACTGAAAATGAGAGAAATCACACCAACAAAATAGATTTCCAGTCAAAAGCACTCCACATCCAAGAAAATAAATCCTATTATTCAATATTTCAGACTGCTGGAGAGGTCTTACTTCTGATAGAACTGCTCAAGATTAAACAGTCTGAAAGGTGAACGATGACATAAATCTCTGGAAAATGTCAAACTTGCTGTGGAAGTGTTGCATCTTTTACTTCTTCCCAAAAACAAACAAGGCAATGTGATTATGTTATGCATACAAACATATACAGTAACTGTTTTATTATTGAATTTTTCCGCCTCTTCATTCATACTCCACATGAATCCAAAGTCTTTGCCGTATTTTCTCAGATGGCAAAAGGCGTACAGATTCTGAATCCACAATTATCCCAAGTACCAGGGACGTGCTGGAGCCAGAGGCTAAGGCATTGAATATTCAACATGTGCAATCCGAGACTCAAGTCAGTTACATTACAGAGCATGTACTTTCACAAGATCAAAGCAAGGCTGTTGAAAACGACAAGAGTTTTATTGTTTCTAGTTCATACTTCTCTGCCCGTTTTTTGCCCTGCTCCTCCACACACGCTCACCTTCTCGTGAGACACAGACTGTTAACACAGAACAATCTTTCTCATCCTTACAACTTGAATAGATTCTATCCCACATGCTATTAGCGGATCAGCAGGAAGACCAATTGGATTGCGTTCGGACCGCTCTCCCCAAACCAATTTAACAAGATCGGAAAGACCAGGTCATCCTTCAAAGTAACACAGAATGTATCATTTTAACACTTAAAAGCTATAGCAGCGAGGTGTCAAAACTGACATCCGACAACTATGTCAGACCATTTCATCTCACTAACTAATAGTGATACTGGCAGGATTTTCTTTATTTTCTTTCATCAAGGAAAATCTGGAAACTCTGTCTTCATAGGACACAATCACTTCAAATGCTTTGAAAACATCAAGAGACGAGCTTCTGAATAAAAAAACAACTTGTCCTTTTCTCTCTTGTACAACAGCAGTTTTAATTCCAGTTGCATGGGCAAATCCTTGAGACTGGTAACTAGAAACATACTAAACATACTTGAAAAAACATTTTTCTTTCCTGCAGTCAGCAATACTCCTGCAATCAGATTCAACTAAACAGACTGACCCCACAGATAGCTGGACACTGCTGCTCCCTACTGAAAGTACAGACTGCAGCAATCCTACAAATAAGCTGTTCTGTAACCAAGATTGACTACTTTATGATCATGAAGATCTGAACACAGAGCGGTTCGTGCATCAGATGGATTTCGCCGACATCATCAGATCTTTTCTTATCTGGATATGGAGTTTCACAGGTGAAGTTCAGAGCACACGTAGGCCACATATACCTTGGCTAGAGATATTCAGAAAAGCACAAATGCCACTTGCACAGTCAGTCTGCCTGGAGGAACACACTGCAGGGTGAGCTTGTTCACTCAATAGAAGATGACAACACAGACACAGTGGGACACAGTTACTGGAGCCTTCAAGTTACTGGAGTTCCATCGTTCACATCTTAAAAAATCAAGAGTAGGACAGAAAACTGCAGGGGGTGAGAAAATGGGTCAGATTTTTTTTTGTTTTTTTTATAAGAGCCTCTATCCTCACCAGGAACGAGCAACATTTGTGAAACTGGATGGATGGAAATACATTAGAAAGGTTACAAACAAAAGCAGGCTATTTAGCCCATCAGCTTGCTTAGACACTAGTAGCTCATCGCTCTAGCCAGTTCTTGAAGGAAGACAGGCCATCAGCAATGCACTTTAAAAAAACATATCTTACATATTTAACTAGGCGTTTCAAATACCCAACAGCAATTTAAAAGTGAGCTGGGCTGATCACCTCAGGAATGATTACACAAGGTCCTGAACTGCTGAACCTGCTGCCATGGTAACCTTGCACACCGTCAGATTCAACCACCAAACAGTGGAGAAAACAGATGACACTGGTTAATAAGAATCGAAGCGCTGACACGGGGAGACGTCACGATTATTAGCTTTATAACCCACAGAATGAAATGCCCCAGACTCAAAGAAAGCTGAACTGCCGCCTCCATTTTGATCTCTTTCTCCTTGAATTTAAGCAGAGGGCTTTACCAATGATTTCTGAAAGCCGGGGGAAAATTAAAATCGCACCGAGAAGAAGAGTGGTGCTTACCTCCCCTGAGTAGCTGTATTTTCCCTTCAGTATCTGCCGGTACAACCGCGTCCTGTTTTCGTCTTCGAAAGGCATGGTGCCGCTAAGGAGGATGTAGGAGATCACCCCCAGCGCCCACATGTCCACAGCGTTCGAGTACGGCTTGCGCACCAGGATCTCGGGGGCGATGTACTCGGGAGTGCCGCAGGTGGTCTTCATGAGGCACTCGTCCCCCTTCTTGCGGGTGCTGGCCAGGCCGAAGTCCGTGATCATGATTTTGGAGTCGGTGCCGGGGTGGTAGTACAGGAGGTTCTCGGGCTTCAGGTCGCGGTGGGTGATCCCCAGGGTGTGCAGGTACTTCACCCCGTCCAGGACCATCTGCAGCACCCGCGTGGCGTCCCTCTCGGTGAAGGAGCCCTTGGCGATGATGCGGTCGAAGAGCTCGCCGCCGGTGGCCAGCTCCATCACCATGTAGACCCGCTCCTGCGTCTCGAAGACCTCGATCAGCTGGATGATGTTGGTGTGCCTCACCCGGCGCAGCACGTTGAGCTCCGACTCGCACACCTCCCGCCCCTCCCGGTACTTGGTCTCGATCATCTTGATGGCGTAGGGCTGCTTGGTGCTCCTGTGCTCCACCCGCACCACCCTGCTGAAGCTGCCCCGCCCGATCAGGGCCTTGATGTCGTACTTGGCCGTCACCCGCGGGTCGAACTTGGCCCGGTATTTCGCCACCTTGTTCCTCCGGGGGTCACTGGGGTCCTGGTGGCCATGGGGGACCCCCCCTGCCGGGCTGCAAGGGTGGGGCACAGCCTGAGTAGGGGAAGGGGAGCCCACCTTCTCCCCAGCTTTGCCCCCGCTGCCACGGTCCTTAATGAAGTGCTCGTACTTGTCCGTTTTCTGGCCCACGAAGGACTCCACCTTCTTGACCAGGTCGAGCTGGACGTCTTTGGGCGGCTCAGGAAGTACCTTGCTCGTCCCACAGCCCATCATGTCACAATCCTGCCCCCAGTCCCAGCGGGCATCATCCTCTCTCGGTCATCTTCCGAGTCCCTACTGTCGTGGCCGAGCAACTGCGTTTCTTGCTGTTTTTTTTTTTTTAAGGGAAGCTTGTAAAACAAAAAACCTGAAAGAAGACGGAAACACAAGATTATCAACTCTCCCGGCCATGTGGTTCTTTTTATTCCTATTAGTCTAAAAAAACAGCACAATCCATCAATGGTTTTTAATGAGTTTAGAGTGGGAGCTTCACTGAAACAAGTACAGTTTAATTCCACTCAAAATGTACAAAGAAAAAAAAAACCTTCCAGCAATGGAGCCTTCATATACTTCAAGATCTCTCTACAACTGGAATGGTTTCTCTTTTTTCACTGTTCAGCATTGAAGCACTCTCTACTTAATCATTTCTACCTTGTTTTTTAAGTAGCCTAAATGCCAAGACATCTTGGGACAATCACAGTACAGCAGATGACCCCACACAATGCAGAAAGTACATTACGACATCATAAGACAACCCAAATCACATATATCTAGTAGTGAAAGAAAAAAAAAAAACCTTGGTGGACTCAGAGTGTTTTCCTTCAGTGTAAAATGGGAAAATGTCATTTAAATTAAAAAGACGAATCCAGCACACTATTCCTTCTCTTTTCTGGTACTTTTTTCCTATTTTCTGCTCCAGCCTGACACTTGATTTTCTTCTTGGGGGGATTTTACAGACACTGGAGAGCCCCAGAGCAGACTCCCGTGCCTGTGGCAGCTCGTAGAAATCACAAAACTACTCATCCATCATGAAAAAGAACTCCCTTTCTGAGAAACGATTAACTATTTTTCTTCAAAAATGTGGCAATTGCAGAATAGCCTACTGCCACTCTGCGTCAGACAGTTTAAGCAGATTTTTCCGTTTGCCTTCTCGGTGAACTGATTGATTATCTGAAGGGACAAAAACATAAGTCATTCATGCGTTCTCTGTGGCCATAGGAAAGGTTTTCAAACAATGGAAAAACGGTATATTTCTTTATAAACACTGTCTTGAGCATCATTTTTCTTTGTAGAAAAACTGTACAAAAGGATAGGAAAGGGATATGTCTGGCTCCCGCATAATTAAAGCCTGCGATGGAACGAGAAGGGTTTAATTCCACACTGAATTAGAAGAAAAAAGGGCTTCTTCACACACCTGAATAAGGTGCAACAGCCAGAATGTATTTTCCTTTTCTACATTTCAGTGTGCAATTCCTGTTACCTGCTCCTTCACACATGAAGTTCTGTTTCTAGATACTTTATTGATCCTGTGAGGTTAATTGCAGTGCAACAGCAGCTTAGCACAGTGTAACGGAATGCTACAATAAGACAACAATACAATACATACAATACACTCAGTACAGTCAGTGAGAAGTGCAGTAAAAGTAAAAAATGGATTATACAGAGTTGCTCACAGTACAAAATATCCAAAACCAGACCCGAAAGTACAGTACACAAAAGGCTCTATTGGACATTATAAATATATTGCACAAATCCCTAGCATATATTGTACAAAACACAGTTGTAAACAGGAAAAAAAAACAGATGTAAGCAAAGTTTTATGTTTAGTCCAAAAACACGTCAACACGTGTTGCCCCTGCCCAGACACAGTGAATGTGTTGTACAGTCTTATGGCAGAAGGCAAGAATGACCTTCTGTAGCGCTCCCTACTCATAAAACTACCGAAAACTAACAAATGCACATTGAATAATACCCAAAAAATATCGAATTCTCAAATCTGCTTGTGTTTTGCATGAAAGAAACAAAAGGAAACTACCGTGGAACAAACACCGAGGCTGAGCAACCCCGACAGCGTGAAAGAAACCCCAGCCTGCACCGATCGGAAAGAGGAAGAATGTGGCACTTCACTCACAAAGCTCCGGTGTCCCTCCCTCCCCGCTGGGGAGGAAATTCTGAAATCGAAATATTGCGCACAGCCCCCGTATGACAGTCCTTCACGGACCGTCAAGAGCCCAGCCGGGCAGCTGAGCGGCGATGCCGCGGCCAGGGCTGTCAACACGGAGCCGGGCAGGGCAGCACAGGCTCGACCCCCACACCTCCCGGCAGCGAGGCACGGTCTTGCCGGAGACACTTGATCACAGCCCGAATAACTACTGTATCACTCCAGAGCATGGGAAGAACCCCACACCCCTAGGCTGTTTTTCTTTCTCCGTTTTACAGAAACGGTGCAGGTAGAGTTGCACACGGAATTTGCTGACCCTTCGCGAAACCAATATACCATTGCACTTTCCTGTAACTTTGTTTTGTGTGTGTGTGTGTGCAGTAACGGTCTCGATCTAACTCCTACCTGACTACACACTTTAGCGGCGCAAAGACGCGTCAGGGGCGGACAGACAACTCGCGGCACAACACCGTTACGACGCGTTATTACTGCGGTCAGTACAAGGATGCTGGAAATATTCGGCGCAGTTACGGTCAGCGTTATTGCTCCGAACAACAACACTATCGCCAGTGAGCAAGCAGACGATGGAGGCTAGTCTAGGCCATATGACCCGGGGATACTGATCCACAGCGCTTTATTCAGACGGAAAGTCGCCAGGGGTGTTTTTCCAACAACCCCGATTCGCATGTTGCGCGAAGGCCGATCTTGTTTTCTTGCGGAGAAGCTGTTTAATGCTGTTTTGAGCAGCAATATGAAAGTTTAAAGTCATTTATTTTTTCAGCTCAATCGCAGCAAGCCATTTCTTTAACCGTGATTGGGAATTTCGGATAACGACGTACCTTCTTTTTTTCCGCTTCTACCCTGTTACTTGTCGCAGTTCAAGGTGTAACATGTCGGGACACCACAACTTGTTGAATCCGACCTCCCTACCCCCCTGTTACTTGTACACTCCATTTTTTTCCTCTTTTTTCACAAATCTTGTATTTCTTCTTCCGTCCCTTCCAGCCTATGAACAACACATTGAGTAAACTTCAGAGTGGCCTGCGGCAAAATTCAAAGCTCGACTCCTGCATTGCACAACGCAGGGCAAACTCAATTTCTTGTTGTCCTTCTTCGAAACGGTGTTTTTACGTAGCGCTTTGCCTCATTTTTTTTAGAAAAGTTTTTTGAGGAGTCCTCGGCTTTTTTCGACCAAAGAAACACAACCGTACGATCTCGTAGTGATCTCACTTCCTGGATACCGAGCAAAGCTCCTTAGCAACCACTCGCGTTTCATTCGAAGAAACTGTCACCCTTGTGGCCGTCATTTTGGCTCAACAAGGTGCTTTTCTAAAGGCTAACCATTCCCTTTAGGAGCCGAAATGGCGTTGCTTGCATTCTAATTTTGAGTAAAAATACCAAAAGATTAATGGTCGTAGTTAATTGGGTTTTCTTAGAAACTAAAACAACATAGCAATGGTTGAATTCTCATATTTAAAAGTAAAAAAAAAAACATTTCGGGTTCCCCAAGACCACTATGCTCCTATCGTTTTTCAGTTTGATTTTCTTTATCACCGAGCCACAGAGCTGGAGACTGACACAGCAGGCGCAAGGTGGGACTACAGTGTACTCTGGACTCCACTGCAGGGTACGCCCAGCTAAACCCACACGGGCACTGGGGAAATAACATGCAGACTCCACACAGAAAGACCGCAGACCTGAATCAAGCCCAAACACTTAGAGCTGTGTGGAGCCAGTACTAACCACCTTACCAGCCGGATACGTCTCCCCGTCACACTAAAAATTAGAATCACGTTCTCTGAATGTTTCTCTTTACCCTGTGCCTATACACTTAAAAAATATAGCTGCATAGCACAGAATTTAAGGAATGAAGTACACACGTTATACTTATATACATTTTTAATTCTCTTTTAGGGGTAAATATCAAATCCCAAAACACTGTCACTATACTACCCTTGCAAAGTAAGATGTAACTTTGTTCTATATAGTTCAGGTGGGGAGCTGCGTCAGCATGCGTAGGCTGCAAAGGAACAAGTACAGGTTTATTCCATGCTGAAAAGAGAAGAAAAGAAACAGAACGTTTCGGCTGTGGAGCCTTCACACCCGAAGAAGGCTCCACAGCCGAAACTTTGTGTTTCTTTTCTTCTCTTTTCAGCATGGAATGAACCTTAACTTGTTCCTTGTTATATATAAGATGACGAGCTTTCTACCTGGGGAGTGCACCTGGGGAAGGCTTCGGGCCACAGCCACTGCTGTAATCAAAGATGTTTTACCTGTAAATAAGGTCAACCTAAAAGAAAGTAAAATCCCACCACCCGCTGTTTTCATTATAGACGCAATCGTCCATGAGAGGAAAAATTAAAGGGCTCAGTGGATACCGGACTTATCTGGGTAACCAGCAGTATTGGGTGTCTTGCAGTTGCAGCACGAATTCGCTAGAGGGCGCATACTCCCCAGCTATTGCTCTCTCTCTTCATCGTTGGAACGTTTCAATTAACAATTCTCATTCTACTAAAAAGTTTTGAATTATATACATAAAATCCCCCAACAGGGGCAATACGAGGTTAAAAATATGAGTATGGTTCCAAGTAACATTTTGTACTGAGTAAACTGCAAGTCTAATCTTTTGTAGCAAATTGGCGTCCTTTTTTCAATACATCGCATTAAAGAAGCGCTATGTGATCCATGTATATTGATTCGGTTCTTACTTTTCTTACATGAACCTTATGTTAACCGCTCAATAGTCAATGTCATTTTTAGTTTCTGTCTTCCTTTTTATATCCCTTGGTAACTCTCCTGAGCAAGATTAACACTCACGTACTGAATGCTGAAAAATGTTAAACCAAAGGACATTCGCAAGATGAATGCTAAGAAAGACACAGTTATGTGAGTTGTAACATAGGAGTTGAAACACACATTTAAATGAACAAAGTAAGCACTTTGATCCCAAAACCCCTGACCCCTCAAATATAGCGCTGTTGAAGGTAAGATCTAGGACTTCTAGTTTTGTCTGCTTTTAATTGACAAAACCCAGGAAGAGAGACATGCTGAAAATGACGTTCCCACTGCGTGTTGCTCCTATTGATTATACGGCAAATAGCTGCCTTTGCCTTTTAATAATTCTGCAATTTCAACCCACGTGACCAGACAATCAAGGAGTTGGAAAATTGTACTCGACTACGGCACTGTCTTCGCTTTTATTTTTTAAAAACAGTTGAAACAACATTAGAGCACAACAGCAATTGTGTTTCAGTCAAATGGTAAGATTGGCGCATCCATGCTACAGAAGAAATGTGATGTCTCAAGGCAAAAGGAAATTGTGCTGTACCTTGGTCCGCACTGGAGCACTTCAAGACAATCGGATTGCTGCTGGAAGTCTTGTTGGTGGTGGGCCAGTAGGTGGCGCACTTTGGTGTGGTGGCCAAGTCACCGTGCTGCAGGAGTCTGTGCAATCTGACTTCTGTAAAGCCCCCCTTACCTCAGCTAGTGCAGTGATTTTCACTTCTCCAGTTGTTCTGCTCAGCAGCTCTGCTGGTGTAGAGCAGTTGCTGTGTGTCACCCCAATGTCTGCTGCACTCTACTGGTGAAGAAAGTGTCGTTAAACCACTACAACACAGTGGATCTTGAACAGTAAAATAAATCAAGTTTGGTGGAAATAGATGAGTGAAGGTTTTGTTCAATATTGTTTTTTCTTAATGGTCGTTTTCCTCTGTATTTATTGAAGTTTTATGAGGTAGGGGAACAGACTAGCAAAAACAAAACACTCAGAATGTGAACATGTAGGTATGTTCTTTAGAAAACAAAGTGAGATCTTTCTGTGCAAGAGGGAGAGCATTTTCTGATCCCCCTATGCATTGTTAAAGCTAAGCGTTTAAGGCAGTTTGCGTAAGTGGGACAATGATGTGAGCTCATATTTTAATTTAGTAAAGACACAGCCTTCAAAAAAAATGTTTCTAAAAACAATACCCTGTTCCGGCTGCACTTAACCTGCAGTGACGGGCTGATCTCCTTGAATCTGGATGTTGCAATAAGACCACCTCATCAAATTCTTCTCAACTCGAACCAAGTCTTGAGAGGTTTAAAATGAAACCGTGGGGAATAAAATAAAAGGAACGAATGTGGAACACGATTCGATTTCAGCAGACATACATGCCTCAAACATACATTAAACAGCACAGGGCTAATCCTCTTTTTGAGCTCCTGTCCAAAGATTGCCATTAATTCATCCCTGGACTTGGGATTTCAGAGAGCCACTAATGAAAAAATATGCAGATTATCAAGAACTGTGGTTCCTTTAAATACAATAAACCTCGCATTACAGGGATTAACCCAGAGAGTACGAGGTATTTAGCAGAGAAAGCCTTGAACAACAGGAAAGACTTCGAGACAGTGCCTTTCCACAGGACAGATGCTTGGTTAATGGCACGCCAGGTGGTTCTGGGAACATTAGTGTCCCAGGCCAGAGAGTATAATCCCCCCTGTGTTAGTGCTTTGTTCCAGTTTAATGCAATTATTCCCCCAGAGGATGATACAGAGAGCGCATTGGCACTGACCCGACATGCGCCAGGATGCCAAAGCGCAAAGGGGCTGCGGATCTGGTTCTCAACAGGAGCACACTGGCTCTCTGCTGTCCTGTTTCCACAACGCGTAAAAATACGTTTAGAAGAGGAAAGAAAGAGATCAAACCCCTCTGAGCCAGGAGCTCTCCACCCTGGAAATGGAGATGTTAGTGCCTTTCAATTCCCGGGTTGTGTCTAATACGAGTTCCTCTGCATTTTTTCAGAAAGAAAAGAAACTCAACAGGAGCATGGCTCCTCTTCTATATATATCACATCCGGTATACAGTGTATTTTCTGACTCTGAGCCAAGGGCTCTTTGGTTAAGTTGTTTTCAGTCTCGGTCTGCCACACAAGAGGATAGAAGTGAATGATGAAACACCTTAGCGTGGTCCCTCTGGGGCTGGCGCGCACACTGATTTTACCCAGGTGAGGAATGACTTCATGTTTCCAGTGGCGTCGGGAGAACGGTGTCTGCGTGCTGGCACTGTGCGGAGAAAAACAACCACAGCCTGGCGGTGGGCTATAAACACCCGTGTGAAGCAGCTCCTTCTTTACTGGGGTTCTTTGAAACCTTCATTCCTTGTTGTGGTTTTGAAGCAGTAATAAACTTTATTGTTATGGCGCCTTTAAAAATGATACTTACAGATGCCTTCTCTCCCCAAAAAAAGAAAAGAGAGGGATATGGTTAGAAACCCAGAATGCACCCCTGAACAACGTGCTGTGGGCTTTATTTGATCCTGAAACTCTCCGCTGTTCATCTCACACAGAATCAACAAAAGTTCACACAAGTGAACGTGAAAGACAGCGTCGCATGGCGGAGGCCTTACAACCTAACACATGGCTCTTATGGAAAACAAAACACTTGTCTGAAGGCAGGAGAAGATCCTATTGTCCTGTTGTACACTGCTCAGGAAAATCCAATGCTGAAATCAAGTCGCAACAGAATGGAGAAATCAAGGATGCCATTAATTGTGTTTTTTTAAATGTCATTTACGCGTTATATAGGTGTCTGAGGATCTTTAACCACACAAAAACAGCTCGGTTTATTCTTGTTAAATCCTCATTAGGAGCAGGATCACTGCCAGGATGACAGACCAACAATGTGTATCCTTACTGTAAAGATAATCTGGGTTTTAGCATGGCGCTGCTTTAGTAAGAAGATGCTGGAAGTGACTTTCCTGTTTAATAGGATAAGATACAGTATATCATGAGTCAGATGGCTTGCAGACGGA